AATCAGGTTCCCTACTTACTGCTTGGTAAACAGAGGCAGGTGGAGTAAGAAAACTTACCCAATTCTTTTTCTTTCAAATTTTAAGCCAATTTAAACAGGCTAAAACTATGTGGAATTTCGTCCCGAGAGGTGGGTGTAGTGAAAACCTAAATAGATTTGGAATTGCATGGATTATGGAGGGGATGGAAGTCAATGGGTTGAATGGCTCTGTTCTGATTTATGCTTTTTCTTGCTGATGTATAACCAAAGCAGATGTAAAGCTGACAGCTGGGTGGATAGCTGTATCATCCACATAGTCTATTGGCGACACTCAAAGCTATTTTTCTTAAGATAAAGTCCGGCCATTATTCGGCTAAAATATTGCCAAACAGTCACACACTATTGTTTTACATGAGGAACTGAGTTTGCAGCCAAATCTGACGCAACAATCAATCCCACACATACAATCACAGGATTTTAGGAGAAGCTGATTCTTTTTATTTTAAGACAAGATTAAGCTTTAAAGTTGCACTCTTGGAGGTCTTGTTGAGAAATTCATCAATCATTTTACAATCTCGGCTCTGAATCCTGAAACAGTCAATGTATTAGGTACACAGTATAATAATACTTGCATTTGATATAGCTTCTTATTACGTCGTTGAGATGTCTCAAAATGCTTCAGAAAATATATTGTAAAGTGGATTGACTGTGTATTTTATGGGCAAAACATGGCAGCCAATTGCGCACAGCAGTGTCCCACAAACAGTCGTGGATTGGTGGATTGGTAACCAATTTTTTTTAAAGGGATTATCAACCCCAGAAAGTGATATAGATGCTGTTGGAAGAATTTTAATGTGGGGATAGAACTCGACAGTGGGAATAATGAAAATGTGTCAGATCTGCACAGTATATATTTATATATATGTCATACATTATTCATTCTACATAATGAAGTCAGCAGTTCCAAATGGAATTGGAAATAATACTGTAATTTCATATTGGCGTACAAGTGACACTGATAGAAGACTCAGCTTTATTCTCAAGTTTTATGATATCACATGCGCCTGTCGATGGAACAACTTGCTTATATTACACCCTGCAGGCTTGTTATGGTTTATTTGAGCTGTTCTGCAAATTTGACTTTAAGATATCAAAACAAAAATATTCATTTATGTGTAATCTCACTTTGGCTACGTTCCAAACAATTGTGCTTATGATGACATGCAACCCAACAAATCGTTCGAAATCAAAGCAAACACATAGAAAAGATGTTGCAATTCCTTACTCTGCAAGCTGCGGCCTTAAATAAATAAGAGGGGAGAGCCTCAAGGGTTGTTAACAATGACAAATGTTTTTATTGATATATTTTGAGTGTACAAAGGTTGAAGTGTTAACCATTTAATGGATGTGCTGTACATATGGGTGGTCAGTGAACAGAAACAAATGGCTGCTATCATTCATCCAGTTATTTAAACTCAAAAATAAGCATCAGTCGGTGTCTCCTCTGTTCAGTGCAGGTGTGGCTAACACCACTTCTCTGAAGAACCTCCAGTGAAATTGCCTATAAAACACTATTAGCATGTTTTAGGCTGTCAAATGCTGTCGTTTCTCCAACCTCCGATTTCCAGAGAGACATACACACGAGCCTGACAGACAAAAATGTTGGAGTTGGTTGGCAGAACCATGCAAGACTGGATATCAGGTGTTCCATCCCTCAAAGGAACGAACTACAGAGAAGGAAGAAATGACAATTAACGACACGCTTAACATTTCCATAAGAATTTAAACTCGTAAAGTTTTTTTTTGCATTTTGCCTTAGACTCCTCAACTAACCCTAATGCAATAATTATAATCAATGCATTTGATACAGCAACGTCAGGAAGATATCTCAAAGCGTTTCATAGGATTTATCTGTATTTTGCAGGTGAACTCAACAGAGAACTGTGACCACAATAAATTTTAACTAACCGTCAGTAAATAAATTTCTTGTTTTCCTTGACAGTTTATGAAGTTCTTCTGCAACAACAGTTACAGATGTGAATTGACGCCCTTTCGGAAATGCCATTGTTACAATGACTGTTTGTAATCTGTCAGCACTCTCGACTCTGGGTTAGAAGGTTATGGGTTAAAGATCCCGAGGCACAGTTGAAAAAGCGAAGTTCTCCGAAACAACCGCCAGTGAAATTCCCTATAAAACACTTTGTCGTGTGTCCTGTCGGACAATCCATCAGATAAAAATTGGCCATTCATTTTGTGGCTGTTTGTGTGGGACCTTGACATTTGCAAATTGGTTGCTGCCTTTATTATCATCATCATTATTATTATTATTATTGTTATTACAGTTTAAATTACTCTGGAGAGGTAGTTTCTAAGTTGTTTGCTTTCAGTAACGGTCAGCCAGACCAATAACACTGCCATCATATATGAATGAACGAACGAACGAACAAATGAATGAATGTTAGGTTGTCTTAGTATGTTTGAACTCCTAAAATAGCTACTTTTTGCAGGAGGTTAAGATTTGGTTCACTGCGTAGTCTTACAGCACAGAAGGAGACCATTCAGCCCACCGTGCCTGTGATGACTCTTTGAAAGAGCTATTCAATTTGATCAATTCCCCGCTTTTTCCCCATAGCCTTGCAATATTTTTCTTTATAAGTAAATATCCAGTTGCCTTTTGAAAGTTATTATTGAATCTGCTTCCACCATCCTTTCAGGCAGTGAAAGGCGCCATTTCGCCCACAAAATATAGTCAATTCACTTTACAGTATATTCTGTGAAGCGCCAAATTTGACACGTCTTGACGACGTGATAAGGCAAGTGTAAGGATTATTATTATTAGCGCATTCCAGATCGTAACAACTATTACTATTACTACATTCTATGAAAATTGGTAAACTAAAGCACAACAGTGAAGCAAAGTGTCCATTCAGTTTAACTCAAAGGAACTGCCATGTGGACACTGACCGCTTTACATATCAATGTGGCCACCAACAGAGTTGTTTTATCCCTTACCTTGTACGAGTTTCCCTCCTGGGTTTCCAAGTCCTGTTTTGCCACCAAGTTGATCCTGGGCAGATGCCCAAACTCAGAGAGGCTGCTCTCGGGTAGATGACCAGTGGGTGAGCGGCTTTTCCTGGACAGAGACAGAGCTCTGCTGATGGCTAGCGGACGAAGGCTGGCTGGATCTGGCGTGAAAGCCCTGCGGATTGGGGGCTGGTGCCTGGCTGTGGCCGGGGTCTGGGAGGGCAGAGGATCACTCGGACGCTCCTGGGCGAGCGAGCGGCGCCTAGTGTAAGGCGATCGGTGGATTCCCAACAGGATCCCAGAGGCTCTCCCTACGGTGTAATAGCGAGTCTTGGCCGCCTGTTTGTACCAGCCCCGAGCCAGGTCTAAGGACACCAACAACATCAGGAGGATCAGGGAGAGCCGCAGGAGAAGAGAACATTTTACTGGCATCATCTCCTCTGGGCAGATTAAAGAAAAGCCACACAAGGCGAAATTGCAGAAGTGCCTGTAAGATGTTCAGCATCAGTCCCCAGTTTATATACACTTTAGACTGGTTCAATTTATGTCAGTTTCACAGCCTGGCTATTTATCCCCCAATGACTCAGAACCCCTACCCCCCCACCCCCTAGGGCCAACGTGAAATTTGTGCAAAATGTTCATTAGATACTTTCTGTTGGTGCTGGGGTTATTGATGTATTGATCCCACAGGCAGTGTTTCACATCATTAGGGTTTAATGACCCATTCCGAAAGTATAAACATTGTAAATTGACCAGATCGGTGACGCAAAGAGCAGCATCTCTGATGGAATGAAGCCATAAAGATCGATTCAATGGCCCAACCTCCTCAATCAAGTCTTTTTGAAATAACTGTGTCAATGTACTAATCTCTTTCTTCTCTCTCTCAAGCTTCATTGGGTACACCGATAACCTTTTACCATACTCTGGGTCAATTCACTTTACAATATATATTCTGTGAAACGCTTTGACACGTATCAACAACGTGATAAGGCAATATACCAAATAATAATAATCTTTGCATTTGATATAACGCCTTATCAGGTCTTCGAAACGTCTCAAAGCGCTTAACATAATATATTGTAAAGTGAATTGACTGTATATTTTGTGGGAAATGTAAGGATTATTATTCTTCCCATGAAAATGACCTTTGGTAAACGAGACAAAGGGAAAATTTTATATACTGAATGGACACGTTGCCTTTAATCATTATACGAAACACTTTTTTATTCTTTGTTAAAAATACAGCGCCTGTCACTTTTTTAAAAATCAGCCTATCTTAGAAAGAGATCTTTTGAAATAGTGGAAGTGAACAAGCTTAATAATAATAATCCTTGACAACTCAGAGCGCTTCACAGTATATACTGTAAAGTACAGTGACTGTATTATGACTGTGCAGTGTATTTTGTGGTAGCCAGTTTTGCGCACAGCAATGTTCCATAAACAGTCATGGAAGTGAGTGACCAATTTTTTTTTATTCGGAGGATTGATGGCCAGGATACCGGGAGAAAATCCCTTCTCTTTTCCAATTCTGTATTGCCATGGGATCTTTAACATCCACCTAAACAGTCAGATGGGATCTTGGTTTAATGTCTCATGTGTAAGACACCAGCCTTCGGCCAGGTCTAAGGAAAAGGAGCTGGGGAGGGAGACGGGGGGGGGGGGAGGGGGGGGGATGTGGCGTAAACAGCTAAGTTATTGAGTACTGATTGTCTCTGGCACCATCTTTTGTAAATCAATATTGATGGATCTTATATGTGTCAAAAATTGTCTGATGAAGAATCACACACAGACACACAGTCAAAGAACCCGGTGAGGTTAGATGTCCCCAGAGATACCATGAGCCACACAGGGTGAAACCTTGGGCAAGTTTCCTTACTCCACACAGAGCCTAATAATAATCCCTCCAAAAAACCCAAAACAATAATAAATTAGTCATTTTCAATCTACGACTGTTTGTGGGACATTGCTGTGCGCAATTGGCTGCCGCATTCGCCCACAAATATACAGTCAATTCACTTTACAATGTGTTCTGTGAAGCGCTTTGGGACGTCCTCCCGACGTGAAAAGCACTTTATCAACTGCAAGGATTATTATTATTATTATTATTTTTATTATTATGAGCCTTCATTCAGGTAGGCAATAGAACAGTTTTGAAATATACTACTTACATTTGGCGCTCCCTTTGTTCACACATGCTGAACATATACATGTCTTGGCTATTTGCCTACACTTTAGAGTAAATCATGTGAAGCACTTTGAGCTGCCTTCCTGTAGTGCCTTATTATTACTATTAATCGATGTTTCAGCCACAAAATATACAATCAATTCACTTTACAGTATATTCTGAGAAGCGCTTCGAGATGTCTTGAAGACGTGATAAGGCTCTATATCAAATGCAAGGATTATTAATTATTTATTATTATCTAAAGACTTCTGTGGCGATTATGAAAAGTGTGGGTCCTTTTCTGATCACAATTCATCAAGCTCAATTTAATTACTTATACAAACCTCGTTTGAATAATGTATAATCATTAAACTTTACTCCAGTCAGTAATTTGAACATATATTGAATGCGGACAAGGTCTATAAATCGTGATCTACAGAAGGGTATCTATAATAGTGGTTGAAGTCACTGTGAGGGTAGAATAGTATCTCTTTTTAAAAATATAATCCACAATCAACCACCATAAATTGAATTAAATAATCAAATAAGTTCAAAGCAGTCATAAGATTTTTTTTCATCCTTTAGAAAAAAAACATTGATTTTGCGTTCAGCATATGAAAATATTGATCTTTTAGACATTAATGTGAGTAATTTTTTTTTAAAACCTTCATTTAAGATTGTTGGTACTAACATTTGAAATGTGAGTTTTGTCTTTTTTTCAGCTTTCGGCACTCATTATAAAGCTAAATAGGTTACGATCAGCCTATCCTTTGGATGAGGCATTAAACAAGGTCCTGTCTGCCTGTTCATGTGGATGTCACCCACCCACCCCCCTCGGAATTTTAAGATTCTATCAACTCAATACTTTGTTGTATAAAATACATTATAAACTGACACGATTTACATGGCAATGGTATGCTGGGGTGATTCAGTATAAAATATAAATAAAACACAAATGATAACTAATGCAAATTCCATCTTGTCTTAAACACTCCTGACATTTGATATCACAATGTATCACTTTGAAACATCTCAAATCTCCTCACAGAATTTTCTAGAAATGATTATATTAATCATAATAATAATCCTTGCATTTGCCTTATCACGTTGTCAAAACGTCTCAAAGCAAATCACAGAATGCGACCTTGTATTTTGTAAGCAAACTTGGCAGCCAATTTGCACACACCAATGTTCCACAAACAGCCATTAAGTGAAAGTGAATGACCAATTTTATTTGGGGGAATTGTTGGCCAGGATACTGGAAGAACTCCCTTCTCTTTTCAAACAGTGCCATTTAATGGCCACGTAAATTTTAACATCCACCTGAACAGGCAGACAAGACCTCAGTTTAATGCCTCATCCGAAGGATGGCACCTGTCTAGACCACAAGCTCCTGACATAGAGCTTAAACCCACATAACTCAGACGTGAAAGTGCTACCAACTGAGTTAAACTGACTTTGCCAAGTATCACTACAGCCATGAATATTGGGGTTTACTAACAATATTGGAATATTATTCAGAATCCCTGGTCCCGAGGAACTGCAATTTCTCTTGGTTTTAGGCTTAAGACTATTGTCTTGAAATGTAAGATTATATGGAATTTTGGAAAAACATCTTACATTTGATGTTCATCTGGATTTCTTCCCCCTCAACCCCCCCCCCCCCCCACCCCCTCCCAACTCATTTAAAGAGAACCAGCCTCCAAGTTAAGAATGGGTTTCAGAGTTTTACAAAAAAAATCCTGGTGATGTTACATTTTAAGACATTGTTCTTAAGGATAAACCATGAGCATTTCAGGCCTCTGAAGTATGGTCTCAGGCAATTGAGCACTACAGTCCAGGCTCTGACTTGAGAAAGAGGCATAAACTGTATCACACATGAATGGCATTGGCTTCATAAATCTGAGTGGCAATAATTACAAGCGACACTGCTAACAGTGTGATCACTCACTGCATCAGCAAGGAAGATGAAATATTTGGTGACTAAGTAATGGGATACCGAATAAAATCAGTCAGCATTTTAAAATATAAATTACTGAGGCGTTCAACTTCATTTGCAATTGTATAATGACTAATTTCCTAATAGTTTTTATAACAGCATTAATTTCTAGATTTACAAACTCGCGAAACAATTTGAAACACTTAGCTGAGCCCATGGAATGAATTTCAGCTGATCTACAGAAATTATCTTCAATTTGAAAGCAAAATTATCTCACAGACTAAGACTGGGTGAAATATGGGGCCTTTGCTCTCACCCCAACCCCCCACACATACACACACTTATAGGAGGAGGCCAATTAAACCTGTTGCACCAGTGTTTTAGATAATTTTAAATCCCATTTCCCAGCTTTTCCCCGATAACCCCTCACTTCCCAAGTGTCTACTTTCCTTGCTTTTAAACAATGGGGGAAATATACAGTATAGCATTGCTTCACGAATGGGAAGGCGAAAGAGTAAAGCAATGGGGTGAAATTCCACCTGCATCTCAAAAACGCTCATTTCTTAGTATATTAAAGGCTGCACATTTTGGAAAATTCTTAAATTCAGCATTAATTTTGAAAGCAAAGAGAACCCACAAGTAAAGACTCTTGCAAGAAATACATTGAAGAATTGTCTAAAATTTACACCTATATATTTATTTAGAGCCTGAAATTCCACTTGGTTTTAACCCTGTAAGAGGTAATTTATCTCGAATGCAAGATAATAATAATTAGAGTGCTTCCATTCTATACATCACTTTTCAAGTCTGGAGGACATCTCAAAGTGCTACACAGGATTGTCTGTGAAGCAAAGTGACTGTTTTGTAGGCAAAACGGCAATGGCGCAGAACTGTGAAAAATTCTCCAATTCAGTCTGAATTTGGAATCCATGGAAAAAAATCTTCCAAAATAAGGCAGAAGCTGAAGAATTTCCCACAACTTCTTATTAGTAAAAATAATAATCCTTGCAAACAAAAACAGAAGTCCCTGGGAACACTCAGCAGGTCAGGCAGCATCTATGGAGAAACCAAAGTCAACATTTCGGGTCCACGACCCTTCGTCAGAACTGGGGTATATTAGGAGGCTTTTAAAAGAGGGAGGAGGCAAGGCAAGGAAGAAAAAAGAGAAAATGAGATAGAGGACAGGGGATGATGGATTAAAGAGGTGTTAATGATGCAAAACAAAGGGCGTGATTGTAACAAAGCAGGGGAATAGAGGTGTTAATATTGCAGAACAAAAGGGGGTGGGGGGAAAAAGAACTTGCAACAAAACAGGCAGATCAGGGAGAGAAAAGGTGTGTCTAGGACCAAGAGGATGTGGTGATGGTTACAGAGGAAGGGAGAAGGTGAGCTGTTATGTGCTGAAATTGTTGAAATCAATATTGAATGGCCAATGGCTGTAAGGTCCCGAGCAGATAGATGAGGTGCTGTTCCTCGAGCTTGTGTTGTGGCTCATTGGAACAGCATAGGAGACCGTGGATGGAGAGGTCAGAGTGCGAGTGAGACTTGAAGTGGCAAGAAACCGGAAACTCAGGGTTGTGCTTGTGGACAGAACGGAGGTGTTTGGCAAATTAGTCACCCAGTCTGTGTTTTGTCTCCTCAATGTACAGGAGACCACATCATGAGCAGCAAATGCAATAAACTACCAATTGGTAGTAATACATGTAAATCGTTGTCTCACTTGAAAACTGTGTTTGGGGTCCTGGACAGTGGTCTGGGAGGAGGTGAAAGGGCAGGTATTGCATCTCCTGCACTGACATGGGAAGGTGCCGGGGGGAGCAGAGGGACTGTTGATGGTGACCGAGGAATGAACCAGGGAGTCACGAAGGGAATGGTCCCTTCGGAGTGCTGAGAGGGGAGGTATGTTTAGTGGTTGGGTCACACTGGAGGGGCCAGAAATGGCAGAGAATAATTTTTTGGATGTTGAGGCTGGTGGGGGTGGAACATGAGGACCAGGGTTTGGGGAGGTGAGGGCAGAGTTGTGGGAAACAAAATAATAATCCTTGCGTTTGATAATGATAATGTCGTCAAAAACACAGGTGAAAACACAGATAAAAACACAGATAAACCTGAGTGCAGTCTCAGGCCCTCTGGAAGGCTGTTCGGTGTCAGTGGGTTTCCCGCCTCTCCGATGGCCTCGCGGTGACCCGGAGCCGCACTGTGAGCGTCACTGACACCAAAGTAGTGACGGCGTCGTGTTGCCATAGTAACCAGTAACCGAGCAACCGGACGCTCACAGCAGCAGCTGTGACCACACCGACACACACCGGACAGTGACTGCCCCGCGGACACGGCGACAGCAAAACCACAACAACACCCGAAAACACCTTTTAAAATATATACACATAACACGTGTATTTAACGGGAGGAACGGCCATGTCGGCGGCGGACGTGTTGGTTCTGCATCCCCAAGTGGGCCGCTGTATCCCGGAGGAGGAGCTGCCCTGTAAGCCCTGCTGTATCACCAAAAACCTGGGGCTTCACTCCACCTCTGGGCTATCCACCGCCGGATTCCGCACAGCCAAGTACATCCCCGAGGAATGGCACCAGAACAACTTCTCCAAGTATTACCAGTCGTTCGCCGACAGGGACACGGCCGAGAACCTGCGCCACGAGTCCAAGAAACTCATCTCGGACACAGAGAAGCGCACTCAGGACACTCAGGCTGAGTCCACCAAGAGGCTGGGAGAGCGTCTGCAGGACATCTTCTTCTGGAAGTCGGAGCTGAAGAGGGAGATCGAGGACCTGACTGCAGAGACAGAGCTGCTCCGGGAACAGAAGAGACGCCTGGAAGTGGCATTAGACGCCAATGAGATCGCCTTCTTCATCACCAACGATAACCTAGAAAACAGGGAGAGGCGCCAGGGCCCTGATCTGGTCAAAGACGAGGTGGAAGATGAACTGATCAGGGTGCGTGTTTGTCTGTCTTTACAAAGACTCCAGAGCAGGTTCTGGAGGAACTTGGTCTCTTCCCATTGCCTGGCTCAGTTAGTAGCACTCTTGTCTCCATAAGTCAGAAAGTTTGGGTTCAAGCCCCCACGTTTGGACTTGGAATCATATAACCTAAGCTGACACTCCAGTGCAGTGCTGGGGATAGGATGCTGCATTGTCAGAGGTGCCTTATATAATAATAATAATAATAATAATAATAATAATAATAATAATAATAATAATAATCCTTGCATTTCATATAGCTCTTTTCACGTCGGGAGGACGTCCCAAAGCGCTTCACAGTACACACTGTAAAGTGAATTGACTGTATATTTGTGGGTGAACGCGGCAGCCAATTGCGCACAGCAATGTCCCACAAACAGTCGTAGATTGAAAATGACCAATTTATTATTGTTTTTGGTTTTGGAGGGATTATTATTAGGCTCTGTGTGAAGTAAGGAAACTTGCCCAAGGTTTCGCCCTCTGCCTGGAATTGAACTCAGGTCTCTCACTTGCAAAGCGAGTGCTCTAACCACTGAGCTCCAGGACTTCCTTTGGTTCAAAGGTTAAATCAAAGTCCCATCTGCCTATTCAGGTGGATGTTAAAGATTCTGTGGTACTATTTGAAAAAAGTGAGATTCTCTCTCATGGTATCTATCCTGACCAACATTCCCCCAGATAAAATTGTCACTTACTAGACTCATTATACAACATGGAAGGAGGCCATTTGCTCATCGTGTCTTTAAAAAGATCTCTCCAAATCAATCCCACTCCCCCGCGCTCTCCCCATAGCCCTGCAAACTTGTCCTCCCCAAATAATTATCTACTTCTCTCTTAAACGTTGTTATCAAATTGGCTTCCACCCCCTTTCAGGCAATGCATTCCAGATCCCAACAACTCACTGTATGAAAACATTTCACTTCACCTCCCCTCTGTTTATTTCAACTATTTTAAATTGGGTTACCGACCCAGCCGCCAGTGGGAATAGTTTCTCCTTGTTCACCCTATCGAAACTGCTCATAATTTTGAAAACTTCTATTAAGTCTCCTCTTAACCTTCTCTGCTCCAAGGAGAATAATCCCAGCTTCTCTCACCTCTCCTGATAACTGAAGTCCCTCATTCCTGGTACCATTCTGGTCAATCTCCGTTGCACCCTCTCCAGTGCCTTGACATCCTTCCTAAACTGTGGGGCCCAGAACTGAACACAGTCTCTTGCTGAGGCCTAACCAGTGTTTTATATAAAGGTTCATCAAAACTTCCTGACTTGTGTATTCTATGCCCCTATTTATAAAGCCTAGTATCCTGTATGATTTTTAACAGCTGTATCTGCCTGTCCGTCCACCTTCAAAGATTTACTATATGACCCCCAGGTCTCTCTGTCCCTTCACCCCCTTTAAGACTGTACCATCAGCGTATATTGCCTCTCCTCATTCTTCCTCCCCAAATGCATCACTTCACATTTCTCCACATTAAACTTCATCTGCCACGTGTCTGCCCATGTTACCCGTCTGTCTATGTCCATTTGCAGTCTGTTACTATCCTCCTCACTGTTTACTATGTTTCCATCTTAGTATCATCTGCAAACTTGGAAATTGTCCTCCCTATACCCAAGCCCAGGTCATTTATAGAGATCAAAAACACCAGAGATCCCAATACCGACTCCTGGGGGACACTACTGCACACTTCCCTTTAGTCAGAAAAACAACTGTTCAGTACCACTCTCTGCTTTCTGTTTCCCAGCCAGTTCTGTATCCATTTTGCTTACAAGTCTCTTATGTGGCACTTTATCAAATGCCTTTTAAAAATCCATATAAACTATGTCAACTGCACTACCTTCATCCAGCCGCTATGTTCCTTCATCAAAAAAACTATCAGGTTTGTGAGCCAAGATTTGCATTTAACAAATCTGTGTTGGCTGTCCTTTATTAACCTAATTTTTATTAACCCAATTAACCCAATCCTCCCTGTAGGATCTCAGCCCTTTTTTTTGCCTACGTCATGGATCCCAACATGGACCACGACTTCTGGATGTTCCCCATTCCCCTGTAGAATATTTTGCGCAGTCCAGAAGATGTGAAAAGTGCTATATCAAATGCAAGGATTATTTATTATTAAGTCAACCTTGCAAGCCAAAGCCTGAATGGGTTGGGTGGTCCTAACTGGACAAACAAATGCAAGTTTGCTAGACAGCATTCTCAATGGCAAGCTATGTGGATTTAGCTGGTTAAACTCCAGCAGCAATAAAATTATACTGTCATTTACAGTATTTCACTTCATAAGGAAGCAAGCTATACAGTAAATCTAACACGAGTCGTATTAATTGGGTATACATTTGATATGGCTTATGCAAAGTATGAATTATATCAAACTTACATAGAAATAAACTCTTCAATAGGACTTGGACAGATGTATGACTTAGGTGATTATATGATTTATGCAGATCAGACTTATATAAGTTTTACTATATTGTGGCTGAATTCTTCATTTCTCACTTAGAGCAATGATTAAGTTACCCGCTGTTAATAGAGCACCCTGCTGCATCCTCTTTCACGAGGGACCAGAAACCTTGTACATTGACCTCTCCCCCAAAAATGTAGGGAAAAAAGATTGATGGAGAGAGAGAGGCAGTTTGTCAATATCATTGATTTTCAGCTAAATCATCATATATCAGTGATGGACGCTATCCACCAAATGTCATCCTTAAATGTTAAATCTATCACAAGATATATTGTTTATTGGTGTGAATAACTAGCATGGCTGCATTCGTCTATACTGATCTGTAACTGAAGGGGTAGGGCAGAAATATACATGGGTCTATTGCAAGGTTGGCTGGTCACTGTTTTTCTCCCTGCTGTTGGATCCAGTGGGGCTGAATCTTGAAGTTAATGAGTTGTCAGCAGTCGGCATTTCCCAAACACTGAAAAGAAAATCTCACATGGTTATAAAGCATTTTCTCTGTGAGACGCCAACTCAACCCAACACAACAACCTGACTTATTATTTAGCTACTTATTACTTGAAATATTGTTCAATTGCTCACGCTTTCTTTGTGGACTAATTTGTTTTGAAATGAGAAGAATGCATAGACCAGACAGCAACAACAACAAGATTACATTTGTATAGTGTCTTTCACGTCGGGAAGACGTTCCAAGGCGCTGGACAGAGAACACCATTTCAGACCCGAGCTGGGGTTGGGGGGTAAGGAAAGGGAGGGGAAGGGGAGTGGCCGATGGCGTGGTCGAAGAGCACTGATACAGACCAACTGACCCAACTAGTCTGCCATGTTCATACCCACACAAGTCTAGTCCTCCTAATTCTCTCTCTCTATTTTCTCGCTCCCCACTTTCCTATTCCTTTCTCCTTGTGTATGCCCCTTAAATGCATTGATGTATTCTGTTCAGTTTCTGGCAGTAAGTTATACCTTCTCACTACTGTCTGTGTAAAAAAAGCTTTTCTTAAAAAAAATCTCTTTTAGATCTCTTTTAATCAATTTACAAATAGGTATGTCAGCTTGGCTCAGTGGCAGCACTCTCATCTCTGAGTCAACAGGTTGTGGGTTCAAGCCACACATCGAGACATCAGGGGAGGGGTGTGGGAGGTTATTGCATTTTAGGAGATGTCGTGCTTTGCATGAAACATTAAATGTGAAACATTAAACCAAACTCCCATCTGCCTATTCAGGTGGACGTTGAATAGGCACGCTTCGAAAAGAGAAGGGAGTTGCTCCCGATATCCTAACCAACAATCCCCCAAATAAAATTGGATACTCACTCGATGCCTGTTTGTGGGACACTGCTGTGCACAAACTTCCTGCCGCTTTCACCTACAAATTAGTCAATCCACTTCACAGTGTATCCAGTGAAGCGCTTTGAGACATCCTTCTGACATGATAAGGCACGACAATGATTATTATTCAAGGATTATTTAATTATTTGATAGTACAATTCCTTGGTGATCGTATTCATTTTAGTGGCTTAAATAAATAATTTTGAACAGATGTTTTAATTATACTGAGACTAGTTTATATACAAAATATCTGGTTTCATCTTCACCTTGTCTAAGCCTATAGGATAATTTTTTCTTGAAAATTTTAAGATCATACAAATTTTTGGAAAATTCTTCAATTTGGACTTAATTTGGAAGCTGTATTTCTGCAGAAATCAGTGTCCTAATTTAGACTAAATTTTCCATAATGCTACACAGTCTCAAGTTTTATCGACACCAGAAGGAATTTCAGGCATCTGTCATCTGTGCGAAAGGTGCTATCTAAATGTAAATTTTTTGTTGTAAGGAGGTTCTGGATGGAGTGCAAGAGGAAACTTTAATGCAGAGTTTATAATGATGTCCATAAACCACCCTGGGTCCAGTCTCATTACTGTTATTGCCATCTGAAAGCCTGGATTAAATCACAGCCTTATAACTCTCTTGACTCCCCATCAAGTTACAGAACTTCAATTGGCTTTTCTAATGGCTCTGTGCAATGTGGGAGCTGTGGTGCTCTGTGGGACATTCACCCCTTGCTGATCCCAAGCTGAACCACTGTACGTTTCTTGCAGGAGATGAAGGCCATAAATTGGCTAAAGGTGCTCTGAACCTCTACAAGCCTCTATGAAATTCAGAGAAGTGGCGATGAACTAATTTAGTAAATGGCAGAAACGTAGAGTCTTAACACCACCCTTGAAACGCCATTCCCTCTTTGAACCCCTCCAATCCAGTTTCCGCCCTGCCCATAGCACGAAAACAGCCCTGGTCAAAATCACTAATAACAGATGCTCACATCTGTGATCAGAGCTTCCTCTGCCTCCTTGTCCTCCTTGACCTCTCTTCCCCCTTCGACACTGTCGACCACTCCATCCTCATACACCACCTCTCCTCTTTACTTAATCTTTGCGATCCTGCCCTTGCCTGGAGCAAATCCTATCTCTCTCACCGTTTCCACTTTGTTGCCTCTAACGGTTTCTCTTCCAGTCCCCGCACTGTCACGTCTGGCATCCCCCAGGGCTCTGTCCTTGTCTCCTCTTTAATATCTACATGCTCCCCCTTGGTGACATCATCCGCAGACATGGGGTCAACTTCCACATGTATGCGGATGACACCCAACTCTGTCTTTCTGCCTCCACCCTCGACTCCAGGACCACTGCTGTCCTGACAGACTGTCTGTTGGACATCAAGTCCTGGATGAGGGAAAATTTCCTACAGTTGAATGTGAACAAGACTGAGGCCATCCTGATTGGCTCACACCAGCGCCTCCGCACCTCAGGCTCTGGCAACATCAACCTCCATGGTTGCACACTACAACTCACCAACTCACCAGCCAGTCAGGGGGTCTTGCTCAACTGTCTTTTCTTCCCCAAATCCAAGCCATGACCCGCTCTGCCTTCCCTCACCTCCATAACATCGCCCGACTCTGCCACTATCTCATCCCTCAGGCGCTGAAACTCTTGTTCATGCCTTCATTACCTCCAAGCTCGACTATGCAAACGCTCTGCTTGTCGGCCTTCCCAACTCCTTCCTCCACAGCTGCAGATAATCCAGAACTCTGCAGCCTGTGTCCTCTCCCGCACCAAATTCCATGACCCTATCTCCCCCAATCTTGCCCAACTCCATTGGCTCCCTATCCTTCAGAGGATCCAGTTCAAGATTCTGGTCCTCACCTACAAAGCCCTGCATGGCCTCGCCCCACCCTACCTCTGCGACCTCCTAACCCTCTACCAACCCGCCCGCTCCCTCCGCTCAGCCGGCTCCGGCCTGCTCCACTCCCCTGACCAACCCGCCATTGGCGGGAGAGCCTTCAGCCACTCTGCCCCCAACCTCTGGAATTCCATCCTCCAATCACTCCGCCTCGCCCCCTCCTTAGCTTCCTTCAAGTCCCCGCTGAAGACCTCCTCTTTGACCATGCCTTCGGCCAACCCCCTTCCCCTCCTTTCTCCCCCCTGACCCCAGCTCAGGTCTGAAATGCTGTCACTGTCCAGCACCTTGGGACGTCCTCCCGACGTGAAAGGCGCTATACAAATGTAATCTTGTTGTTGTTGAAACCTCTGCATTTAAAGTACTATGGTCCTTTGGATGAGACATTAAACCGAGGCTCCCTATCCTAGCCCATTCACATGGATGTTAAAGATCCAATGGCACTATTTGAAAAGAGAAGGCAATTTTCTCCTGATAGCCTGGCCGACCATTCCCCAAAATAAAAATTGATCACTCCATGGCTATTTATCGGACACTACTATGTGGAAAAAATTGGCTGCCACGTTTACCCACAAATCCATAGTCACTCCACTTTATAATATATCCAATGAAACACTTTCAGGAATCCTCCTGATGTGAAATGTGCTGAACCAAATACAAGGAATATTCTTATTATTAGTATAATTATTATTACACTTCAAAGTAACTTTTTTGCAAATTACTTCAGACATTGTGATGTGATTGAGTGCTATATTAAATGTAAGGATTAATATTACTGTATCAAACAAGACCCTATTAAACACCCAGGTAGCAGAAAAAACAAAGAGTTTCATGTTGCAGTGGTCTGAAATTCCACCTAATCTTAGGCTGCAAGACCATTTAGACTTTAAAACTTCAGATCCTGCAGAATTGTGGAAACTTCTTTATGTAGAAACTGTTTACGCAGTAGTTAAAAACACTTGTGAATGTGTAGAAACGGTCAAGTACTCTCCAATATTACTTAGCAAAGTAATTAAAGATTCCAATATTAATTTATAAAGTTAAAAGACTTTGACCATAACCTGAACACTCCAGTCATGCTGATGTGTGCCTGGGTTAATGAACTAGCGTGAATGGGGTCTTTAGTGCAAGAGAGCTTAAGTGCCTTCTTGCAGTGATCATTAGTTCGGCTCTGCTCATACGGAGTAGAATTAAAACTAGCCTAAGCTCCATCAGTAATGCACTGTGGCTAATAATGTGATGTCCTACACACTTATTTCTTTTAATGCAGGAGCTAGATCTGATTCAAAATGTGCGAGGAGTTTTGAAAAGGACCCTGGATCAGGCCATTACTCAGATAAGGTAGGACATGAGTTGTTGAATGGTAAAATATCATTAAGTGATGACAGGCTTATTACTTATTCATTATCTTGTCACTGCACTCCATCTCATGGCTTCTATTCTGCAGTTAATTACTTATCTGATGAGGTGACATCAGTCTGCAGTGGCACCTGAATTCATCCTCCGTATCGTACAATAATGTTTTATGTTTGATTTGCAGGATGAGGTTTTAGCTATTTAATCTGTATCCTGCCTGAGCAAGCATCACAGCCAGCCTGTTATTTTTTCCAACTGAGAAACCAGCAGTTTAGCACAACACCGCCCCCCACCCCGATTTAACAGAGCTTTCTGTTTGCTCAGAAGCAAAATATTGTCAAGACAGTAATTATTTAAAAAAAGGGAAGTTTCAGGGCTTTTTTGATCAGCCAGGTGTCTGACATATGTGGAAACCCATCGCCTTGCTTAACAGCATTCAAACCAAACGAGTAAGTGTTCCACTTGTGTAAAGATTTAATTTGTCTGGTGTGAAGGATGCACTCTGCCCACCTGATTCCATAAAGGTTAAGTGCAGGTCAGCAAGAGCCAAGGCTTGGGGACCCCAGAGTGTGCGTTAAGGTGTGAGTAAAACTCACTTATAAATTGTAATTTCAGACCAAAAATTGCTTAGATTTCTTTGCACTAGTCGTATTTGATATGTCGCATAAACAGCTAAATGATTTCTTGGTCCTATATGGTCCTAAATCCTATGTAAATCATCTCCCGACTCGTAATGCTGACCACACTTATTGGCTACATTGAAGTACACAAGTGTTTGTTTTCCATTCCGATCAGTGTTCCGTTTGAAACCATTGCAGGAAATGACATATTGACCCGTTGCCGCACGCACACTTACCAGGTGCAATGATGTAGTATCACATGCGCAGTACTGTACTTCGTTGAAACAAGCGCGGAAAACCTCACCATGGCATCAGGCAATACAAGTACAACCAAACACAAGTCAGTGACAAGAACCTGTTTAGTCATATAAAGTCAGATTTTAGAAAGGAGTGCACACTCCACACCAGACAACTGAAATCCTTACACATACGGAATTCTCAGTAGTTTTGGTTGAATACTGTTAAGCAAGGCAATGGGTTTCCACATGTCAGATACCAGCTGACCAAAAAAGCCTTGAAACTTTTTTTTAATGAATCATTTTTTTATCAATCAGATTTTATATATGACTCTTGCAAGTTTGCCTGTAATGGATACTTTGCATAAGTCACATTAAATATTATGGTCCCAATGAATAAGACTTACGTGAGTTTACTTGTACTTGAGTTTAACCAGCTATAATAAACAGTAGTAAGCTTCCTGCTGCTTGTCCAACTGCACTACATTTAAGGACTTTGGTTTGCAGGGCTAACAGGTGCCGAGGATGCTGAGAAACTGATTTACATACAGATTTATCAGGAATGTACACATGGTTTTAAACCCTTGAAACATCTACATTTTGATGCCTTGGGATGAAAAAATGGCGGGATGGGATGTGTTAATTATCACAGTAGATAATTACCACATTTCACAGGTGGCACATTTTCCCTCCCGCATGCTCAATGTTAGAATTTCCATACCCTTACAATCCCAAATAGGTGCAACAAGTTTATTTGAGATAGATAGAATCAATTTCAATCAATAATTAGAATCAAAGAAAACAGAATCATATTACCCAGTTCTCCAACCCTGGATAGCGCCTGGAGTTATTTCTCCTTCTTCTCTACTTCACGAACTACTGTTATTACTTCTCTTTCACTTTCTTACTGGAGGCAAATTCCCTCCCCCCTGTGCATATACATATACAGTAGAATCGATATCGATTCCACTGGGAAGTGCACTGACCCTCTACACAACTCCAACTATTTCAAAGTTACATCTTTTATGTGTTTCTAACTCCACCTCCCCTTGTCACAGAGATAGCCCCCACCCTTCACAGCTGCTTTGCACAGAGAGAAATATGGACAACTTCTGGGCAGCCTCCCACAGCCGCTTGTTTCTCAGCCTTGAGATCGGCAGGTGTCTGAGGCTGTAGCCTTTTCTTTCTGCGGTCCATTGTTCTTACATCTCGGCTCAAGGACCCGATCGCTCATTATCTCAGGAGTGAACATCTTCCCAGGAAAATATGAAATGCAATCAGAAGCTAACCTCATCCAGTCCAACAAAGCTACTTATAACCATTTAACTTTCAAACCTTCAAACATTCGGTTGCTGTTTGAAATATACCAAGGCACCCTGAGGTCATAGTCCGTATATTTCAAAATCAATGTTATACAACTGAAAATGTTCGATTTTCAATGAACAGAAACCTAAAACAATCACCGATCCTGCTTCCTCCACAAAAAACGGAGCTCTACAAGTCTTCATTCTGTTTTATGTTGTGTATTTCACAGAAGTCGTTATTCTGTCTAGTTCTGTAATTTTTGATTTGCAGAACCTTTCTAGAGGAGATACAGTGGGATGGAGTGGAGTTAGTGATGACATGGTCTGTGGAAGGAGAGGGATTGCTAGATGGTTCTCTTGTTATTACCAAAAAGTTTCAGGGCTCTTTAGGTCAGACGTGTGTGGAAATCCTCATCTTGCTTAACAATATTCAAACTAAACTATTGAGAGTTCCACAAGTATAAAGATTGTATTTGTCTGGTGTGGAGTGTGCACTCTCTTCCTTGAATGATGTACTCTGCTCAACTAATCCCAGACAGTTTAAGTGCCTTCTAAGAACCCAACCTTAAACCTTAACAAAATGTTCGACGTTCATGCCTTTTCAAGTATTTACAATGACTGTTTTCAATAACGAAGGCCTACATTATGAAATCACAAATAGAAAAACGAGTGCTCTCATGGGGATTCCGGATAGGTCAAGATTTACTCTACTTTCTTAACATTTCAGAGCATCCAGAATTTGGCAAACTGTTGAATTCAGTCTTAACTTTGATGCTCTTAAAATAATTTGTCTCCCTCGATGTGTCAGTCTGCTACTTAACTCACCCTTGTGCCACAAACTATTTTGTTCCAGGAAGAACAGAGATGCCAAGGAGCTGATGGAAATGGACTGGTCGGACAAATACGAGGCATACAAAATAGATGTCAAGGGTGGTGGCCTCAACAACCAGAGCACCAACATTCAATACCATCCAAACAGCTCCAAATTTGAGGACAAGTAAGGCACTGACAATCTGGTTTGGAAGTCAAACGTGGTGGTGTTGGGGGGGGGGTGCAGTACAGTGGGCTGGAAAACAAGAATTTGGTAGATGAGGACAGTGTACTTCTAGGTCTGGGTTAGAGCACACGGAGCTTGACCTGTGCCATATTGGCCGCAATATTGTCTGACGCTGACAATGGGGTGACACAATTGCAAACAGTTTCATTCCCCAGAGTTGACCACAGGATGTGCTGGAGCTAATTGGCTATCAGCGATATGAAATACATGATTGGATGAGAATAGGTGAAAAACATTGAATGGTATTGTTTTACATTTTAAGACTGATTAAGACTAACACATTGCAAGGAGCTTTTTGACATTTTTTACAACAACTTGCTTTTATACAGTACCCTTCACTCAGGTAGCTCTTGATTTTAAATACTTTAAAATTAAAACATTTTTATGTTTAGTAAAGCAACATGTGGATTTTCATATTCTCTCAAAAAGAAAATCTAAGAGCAAAACACTCTCCACCACCGTTATGTTGTTTCAGTCTTTCTTATGCTCAGCTTTAAAGGTTTGAAAGGTTTGGAGCTGTTGGTAAATTGACCACCAGAGGGCGCGTCAACACTGTATCAACTGGTCTCAGCTCAGTTGAAGTGAATCCAATCAGTAATAACTCTGGCACTCCATATAGTGCCTCATCACATCCAAATATCCCATCATGTAGACACGACTCATAGCTCTCTCCGTAAAGCATAGTGACTCTAATGGCATCATGTGCTCAACAACAACAACTTGGATGTATATAGCGCCGCACGGCGCCTCAGAGCGCTTCATAGTAACAGATCCCGGAACCGAGCCGGGGGAGGGGGAGGAGCCAGGGAAGTGGGAGGAGCTGGGGGAGGAGCCAGGTCAGGGGGAGGAGCCAGGGGAGGGGGAGGAGCTGGGGGAGGGGGAGGGGGAGGAGCTGGGGAGGGGGAGGAGCCAGGTCAGTAGGAGGAGCCAGGGGGAGGGGGAGGAGCCAGGGGAGGGGAGGAGCCGTGGGGAGGCGGTGGGGGGGGAAGGTGACCAAAGGTGCGGTCAAGCAGAAAGGTCTTCAGCTGGGATCTGAAAATAGGAAGAGAGGGGATGAGGCGAAGGGAGTGAGGAACAATAACAACAACAAGATTCCACTTATAGAGCGCCTTTCACGTCGGGAGGACGTCCCAAGGCGCTGTACAGTTGGGTCAGGACCCGAGCAGTGGGGGGAAATGGTGAGGGGAGGGAAGGGAGGGAGCGAGGAGGGGGAAATGGTCAGAGTGAGGGGAGGGAGCGAGGAGGGGGGAATGGTCAGAGTGAGGGGAGGGAAGGGAGGGAGTGAGGAGGGGGAAGAGAGTCGAGAGGGGAGCTGAAGGCACGGTCAAAGAGAAAGGTCTTGAGACCGGCCTTGAAGGAGGAAAGGGAGGAAGCGGCGAAGGCACTGGGGGATGGAGTTCCAGAGCCTCGGGGCTGAGAGGCTGAAGGCCCGGCCACCGAGGGTAGGGCGGTTGGGGCGGGGGACGTGGAGCAGACCGGAGCTAGAGGAACGGAGGGTACAGAGGTAGGGGGATAGTAGATCGGAGAGGTAGGAGGGAGCGAGGCCGTGAATGGCCTTGTAGGTGAGGATGAGGATCTTGAATTCGATCCTCTGGGGGATGGGGAGCCAGTGGAGGCGAGCGAGGGCGAGGGTGGGAGTGATGTGGTCGCGGTGTCTGGTGCAGGACAGTACACGAGCTGCAGAGCTCTGAATGACCTGCAGTGTGGAGGGAGGGCCGGGAAGGCCGGCGAGGAGAGAGTTCCCATAGTCCAGCCTTGAGGTGATAAAGACGTGGACCAGAGTTTCAGCCGCGTGAGGGGTGAGGTAGTGCCGTAGTCTGGCGACGTTCCGGAGGTGATGGAAGGCGGTGCCAGTTGTGGTGCGGATATGAGGGAGAAAGGACAGCTCAGGGTCGAACAGAACCCCGAGGTTCCTAATGGCTTTGAGAGGTGGAGAGTGCGGCCTTGGATGCTGATGCTGTCGGCGCCTGAGGTGCGGCGGCGCTGACGTGAGCCAATCAGGAGGGCCTCAGTTTTGCGCACGTTGAGCTGAAGAAAGTTGTCTCTCGTCCAGGACTCGATGTCGGACAGACAGCTGTCAGGACATCGGTGGTCGTGGAGTTGAGGGTAGAGGAGGAAAGGTAGAGTTGGGTGTCATCCGCACACATGTGGAAGTTAACCCCATGTCTGAGGATGATGTCACCACAGGGGGAGCATATAGAGGGTGAAGAGGAGGGGACCGAGGACAGAGCCCTGAGGGACGCCGCATGAGACAGTACGGGGGGTGGAGGAAAAGCCATTCGTGGAAACAAAGTGAAGACGGTGGGAGAGGTACGACCTAAACCACTCAAGGACAGGGCCTTGAAGGTTTAGGTGGGAGGACAAGTGGTGGAGGAGGATAGCGTGGTCGACCGTATCGAATGCGGCCAATAGGTCGAGGAGGACGAGGAGGCAGAGGGAGCCCTGGTCACAGATGGTCAGGATATCATTGGTGACCTTGATCAGGGCAGTTTCTGTGCTATGGGCAGCACGGAAACCCGACTGAAGGGGTTCGAATAATGAATGGGTGGAGAGGAAAGAGCGCAGCTGGGAGGCCACAACTCGTTCCAGGACCTTGGACAGGAAGGGGAGGTTGGAGATGGGCCGGTAGCTTGATAGCTTGATAGGAAGGCAGTTCCAGAGCCTCGGGGCGCAGTGGCTGAAGCCACGGCCACCGAGGATGGAGCGGAGGACTCGGGGGACGAGGAGGAGGCCAGACCCGGAGGAACGAAGGCAACGGGTACTGTTGTGAGGAGAGAGGTCAGAGAGGTCGGGGGGGGGCAGAGGAGTGGAGGGATTTGAAGACAAGAGTGAGTATCTTGAAATCGATCCTCTCTGGGACAGGAGTCAGTGCAGTCTGGCCAGGACTGGGGGGATCGGGGAGCGGAGTTTGGTGCGGGTAAGAATGCGGGCGGCAGAGTCTTGGATGACCTGGATTTTGTGAATGGTAGTGGAGGGGAGACTGGCGAGGAGGGCATTTGAATAGTCCAGCTGAAAGGTGACAAATGCGGCTTTTGGAGTGAGGTATTGGCGGAGACGGGCGATGCGTCGGAGGTGGAAGAAAGCTTGGTGAGGGACCGAAGGATAATTGGGGGTCGAACCTGACGCCTAGGTGGAGAAGGTGAGAACCATGTGATTTTAGACGGTGACGAGAGCCAAAGAGCACGGCTTCCGTCTTGTCAACATTCAGCTGAAGGAAGTTTGCGCTCATCCAGCCCCTGAGATCTGACAGGCAGCTGACAGAACATCAGGGGACTGGGGGTCGCAATGTGAGGTGGAAAAATAGAGTTGGGTGTCATCTGCGTACATGTGGAAATGTACCCCATGTCTGCGGATGACACCCCACCAAGAGGGAGCATGTAGATCAGAAAGAGGAGGGGGCCAAGGATGGATCCTTGGGGCACCCCACAGGTGACCGGGTGAGAGCGGGAGGAGAAGCTGTTTGTGCAGATGTACTGCTGGCGGTTTGTGAGGTAGGACTCGAACTGGGCGAGTGCGGTTCCACTGAGGAAAGGCGGTGGAGGAGGATGGTGTGATCGACTGTCTCAAACGCCGCGGAGAGGTACAGAGGACAAGGAGGCAGAGGGAGCCCTGGTCATAGATAGAGAAGATGTCATTTGAGACTTTCACAAGTGCAGTCTCTGTACTGTGGGCGGAAACCGGACTGGAGGGGTTCGAAGAGGGAGTGGGTGTCAACATTCGTATCTGTCCCTCAGACGAGACGTTAAGCCGAGATCCCGTCTGCCTATTCAGGTGCACATTAAAGTTCCTATGATACTATTCGAAAAGAGGAGGGAGTTTCTCCTGGCGTCATGGCCAACCCTCCCTCCAAAATAAAATTGGTCACTCGTTTCAAGGATGTTTGTGAGACATTGTTGTGCACAATTGTCCTGCCATGTTTGCCTACAAATGTACAAATGTAGGCAAACACGGCAGCACAATTGTGCACAATAATGTCTCACAGTCACAGTGACAGTCACTCCATTTCACAATAAATCTTGTGAAGCGCTTTGAGACGTCCTTCCGACGTTAAAATTTGCTATACCAAATTATTATTATTATTATCAGTAGCTGTTTCCAGCCAGACTCAACAGCACTCTTTTCCTATGCCTCCCAGCATCAAGCCTTTCGCTGCCTATTGGGGCCTCAACCTACTTGATGACAAGCCTAAGGACATTAACTTGCAAAGAGCCTTTGAGCTTCCTGCATCTTCGACATTTAATTCCTGATTGTTTTGTACCATATTTGCCTACAAAATTCAAACTCACATTTTACAAGGTGCTTTTGTGATGTTTGGATGTGATAAGGGGCTGGAAAAAAAAAGTTCTCGGAATGCACCGCAGGTACTAAGTACTAACAATCCGTGGAGAGGGCAGGGAAAGGGGGGAGGGGAGAGCTCAAATGTCTTCCCGGGCAGGGTTTGAGAATTGGGAAAGTACTGCCTCAGAGGCAGAATTTAAATGGAGTGTTTATAAAGGGAGAGAAAACAATACTCAGGAGGTAAAGGTATTAAGGAATATGGAGCATCTGCAACAACCAAATATGGGGTGAATAATCTCCTCACACCTGCTGCACTTTAAACTCTCCACACTCCCCGCAGCACTGCACCTCACACGCCTTCACAATGGGTTGCTCATTGATACACACAATAGTGCACAGCATTAACCATGGCCACCAATAATAATCCTTACATTTAATACAGCGCCTTATCACGTCTTTGAGACATCTCAAAGCACTTCACAAACTATACTGTAAAGCGAATTGACTACATATTTTGTGGGTGAAACGCAGTAGCCAATTGTCCCACAAACAATAACCAGCTTAAGCAACCGTGTCCTTTGTGCTTTTCTTTTCTTCCTCCAAAAGCACTTCGACCCCTGAATCGTGGGCCCAGTTCACCCACTGCAACATTTACAAAGGCGAGCAAGAGCGGATCAACTCCATTAACTTGCGCTCCCTGATAGATAACGTGCTGCTGGAGACCTCGGAGGACCTGCGTGAGCAGTATGACAGGGTCAACGCTGCCTTTAACAGGCGCCTGGAAGAGATGAGCGACGCCAAAGCCAAACTCGATCATCACCTGCGGAAGGTACGTTCGTTCCCTCATTCACTTCAGCTGTACATAACAACAACAATGATCCTTGTATTTGATATAGCGCCTCACGTCTCACTGAAACGGCTCAAAGTGCTTCACAGAATATGCTGTAAAGTGAATTGATGTATATTTTGGGGGGATTGTTGGAGAAAGTCCTTTCTCTTTTTGAATAGTACTACAAGACCTTTAACATTCACCTGCACAGGTCTTGGTTTATCATCTCATCCAAAGAACTAACCTGAATCAGAATACATTTCCCCTATCAAAAATAGTAAACAACAAAGAAAAAACTTAGAATGTAATTAGTCAGGTTAGTTTTATGCCTGGTGTCTAGGTGCATAACTAACCGAATCCATAAATATGTTAGTGCCAAAACGCAAGATTTAAATTTTCTTAAAGTCGTGAGTTTCAGCTCTTTGATTTGATGCACATGTATATTACTTTTGTAGATAGTCTTATTGCAAAATGTTACAACTGTGTAGTAACTACTGTACTCTTCCATTGAACAGATCCTTGAGGAGATCGCTGGCCAGGAGAAGAACATCTCTTATCTCAAACAAGCCATTAAGGACAAAGAGGCTCCACTGAAGGTAGCTCAGACGAGGCTCTATGAGAGGAGCTACAGACCCAACGTGGAGCTGACCAGAGACACTGCTCAGATGAAGTAAGACAACAGAGTATTTGGGAGAATGTGCACAGCAGTGTTCCACAAACAGTTGAGTGCCCGATTACTTTTTTGAGAGAGATTATTACCTCCGAAAAGCAATCTGCCAATCGACTAATAACCGGGTTCCTATTTACTGCGAGATAAACAGAGGCGTGTGGAGTAAGGAAACTTGCCTAAAGTTTCACTCCACCCAGGAATCAAAACCGGTCGTGTGGTGAATGCGCTAACCATTACGTTACGGGATTTCACAGTATACCTGTGTGGTTATGGTTATCATTGGGACCAGGCAGTCATGAATCAATATTTACCTTTTCTCTCCTTCCCCCCCAAAAAACCATTTGCAGCTTGGTCTGCGAGGTGAATGAGATCACGGAATCCATTGCGTTCCTCCAGGGGAAATTGAAGGAAGCTCAGATGTCCCTGGAGAACATGGAGAACACACGCATGTCCCTGGAGAAGGAAATTGCGGTCAAGTCCAACAGCCTCTTCATTGATGGTGAAAAGTGCCTGAAACACCGAGCTCGATACCCGACCGTCGTCAGATTCATGGGCTATGAGTGAACTAAGTTTATTTGAAGGAGCAAAGATGCAAAGTGCAAGCAATTCAGCTGTTGAATGTCAAGATTCAAATTTTTTAAAGTGTTTTACCCTGTGTTTCAGCTCTTTGATTTGGTGCGTGGGCGAAATGCAGAAAAAAACCCAAGTTAAATTGGGAATGCAGTCCCCCCTTGAAAAAGTCAAATGATTATCAGCCAAATTTACTGGATACATAAAATAGTACTCTATTTCAAAGTAAACATATTCTTATGACAATCTTGTGCTTTGATCTGCCAGACTCTCATTCCAATAAACTGCAAGACTAAAAATATTATAGTCGTTTGTTAATGTTAAGATTTGCCTGTGAAGTGCATTGAAAGAAACCAACTGTATTTCTGTATTGTATTACAGCTGACATGTCCATTTCTTACTGTCTCTAAAGTCTACCCCTCCTAGCTTGAGGATCAGTCTGTCACAACATCAGATTGTACTGCACAAACAAAACTCTCCATTGTAAGGGTTATTCACAGGCATCAGATACGTGCCTCACATCAGGCTCTTGGTCTGGCTCCAGACCGGGCTGTACATCTAACTGTTCGAAGGTCAGGCTCCTAATTCCATCCCACCCTCAGGCAGCTTTCCTCACTCTGTTGGCAACTCGTCTATGGGTCAGAAGGTTGCAGGTTGATGCTAAAATGATCGTGTTCAACGTCCTCGTCCTCACTTTCAAATCCCTCCACTGTCTTGCCCCACCCTATTACCTCTGGGACCTCTTCAAACCGTACCAACACGGCCGCTCCTTTACAACATACCTCAGTCGGTTCACGTGATCTTTCCAAATGCTGTTGGCACAAGCCTGTTTCATGTCCCACACCCCACCATGGGCGGTTGGGCTTTCAGCCTTTCTGCCCCTGCTTTCCAGAATGTAAACCCAGAACAATACATTGAGATATATTAAGGCATAACACGAAGGCACAGGCTAAAGACTGTGAAGGGATATTATAGGGTAGATAGCAGAAAGTATTTATTTATAATTAATGTCTGGAATGGGGTTACCAGAAAGCGAAGGCACTGGACTCATTTGACAAACAGCTTGATGTTGCAATGGGAGGATGGTGGCATGGGTATTCTAGAAAAACGAGATCAAATGGGTGAAGGGCATTCTTCGTCTCAGCCTCTCATAATCAGTTACTGCAATTTCCTGCAAAGCCACGAATGTATGAACTGGCCATCAAAGCAAAAATATATTATAATGCAGATTAAAATTAGTAAGAAACAGACCCAGACATTCCAAACAAACAACAACTTGTATTTACACAGCGCCCTTCATGTGGAGTACTGTCACGGATCTTTGGAATGTACAGGACCAAGGTAAAGTCTTATAATCTAATACCTTCAGTGTGAAATGCAGCACACTGAAGATATTAGCGACGTACAGCGTAGACTTGATGGGGCTTCGGACACAATGTCAGTCCAACGCAGGGGGTCAGATCCAGGAGAGCCCCAAGCGGGGCATGGAAGGTAAACGTTTGCATCAAAGTTGTGAAAAACAGGAAGAGCTCCATCTTGGCCAGACTCTCCCCGATGCAAATCCGTTGACCTTTAAAAGATAGAAGATAAAGATTATAAAGTCTTCCTTCCGACCCCACACACTGCAAATCAGAAACTACGTCCGTCCCAATGCCACGTGGAAATGGTTCAGACGTTGGATGTGGAATTGGTCTTAAGTGTTTATATTGATTAAAATGGTGATTTTCTTTGCAAAAAACGATCCACAAATCAATTACCTGCAGAAAAAGGCATGAAGGCGTCTTTCTTCACAAATCTTCCCTCAGCATCCAGGAAATGAGATGGGTTGAACTCATTTGGCTTTTCCCATTGACTCTTATCGTACAGCACAGAGGCAAGTAGCGGAATCACCTGTGTTCCCTTTGAAACAAGACCAGAAAACAGTCATGACACGGCTGTGATGTTCCTTGCAGCAGTAATGATTACTCCCATGGCTGTTGGGGACTGGAACTTGTAAGACTGAAAGAGACAGACAGAATTCACACCAGATATTCAAATTTTGAATTGTGTGGAACAAAAAGACAAAGGAGGGGAATTTGTTTTTACAGAGAGGTGTGGAATACCCTATGGTGATCAAGACTGAATCTCTTAGCTATCAAGAGGAAAGTAGCTATATTTGTAAAAGGAGTAAAAAAGAGGGTATGTGGTATGGGGAAAAGGCAGGTAAATGGGAGTGAATAGTTTATTCTTTGAAAGAGCCAGCACAGGCACAATGGGCTAAATGGCCTTCCTGTGTGCTGTCCTATGTGTTGGGTAAAGCCAGCACTAATATGGGAGAAAATAAGAATCAACACTTTTGTGTCAATTTAATTGACATGTCAATGTGTTTCTGACCCATTCGCAATTGCTATTAAGAGTTACTTTGAGTTTTGTCTTTTGAATGAATCCGTGTAGGGAGGTTCATGTCTGAATGTTCTGAATCAAACATTCACACATCTCAACAGCTGTCCAAGGAATCATTGGCTTTTAGTGGAGCAAGTATTAATAATAATAATAATAAGACTTGCATTTGATAAAGCGTCTTATCATGTAGTTGAGAAATCTCAAAGCAATTCGCAGAATATATATTGTAAAGTGTATATTTTGTGAGCGAAATTAGTGTTTTACAACAAAATTCCATTTATATAGCGCCTTTCATGTCGGGAAGACATCCAAGCCACCGGACAGTCAGTCTTTTGGACCCGAGCTGGGGTTTGGGATTGGGGAGGGTGGAGGGCAGTGGGGGGGAGGCCGGTGACCGAAGGCATGGTCGAAGAGGAGCATCTTGAGATGGGTCTTGAGGAAAGGGAGGGGGCGAGGCGGAGGGACTGTGGGATGGAGTTTCAGAGGGTGGAGGCAGAGCAGCTGAAACCCACCCTGGTGGGGCGGGCGAGGCAGGGGATGTGAAACAGGCCAGAGTCCGCTGAGCAGAGGGAGCGAGCAGGATGATAGAGGGTTACGAGGTCACAGAGGGAGCAAGGCTATGGAGGGGCTTTGAAGGTGAGGACCAAGGTTTTAAACTATCCTCTAAGTGATGGGAAGCCAGTGGAGTCAGGCAAGGATTGGGGTAATAGGGTTATGGAGCCTGGTGCGGGAGAGGACATGGACTGCAGAATTCTGGATGATCTGCAGTCTATGGAAGGAGGAGTTGAAGAGGCCGACAAGGAGTGAGTTTGCATAGTCAAGCCTGGATGTTATGAATACGTGTATGAGGGTTTCAGCGGCCTGCAGTGTGTGACAATGGCGGAGCTGGGCGATGTTGCAGACGTGGGGAAAAGCAGAGTGGGTCATGGCACAGATGTCGGGCAGAAAGGGCAGTTGAGGGTCAAACAAGATCCCAAGGTTCCGGACTGGCTTAGTAAGATGGAGTGTGAAACCATGGATGGTGACGCTGTCAGCCCCTGAGGTGTGGAGGCACTGACGGGAGCCAATCGGGAGAGCTTCGGTCTTGTTGACGTTCAACTGAAGAAAGTTAGCTCTCATCCAGGACTTGATGTCTGACAGATAGGCATTGCGTCTCAGTTGGCGTTGGGCGAGGCGTGAGAGGGTGGGCGGAAGAGTCGGTTGGTTATGGAGAAGAGGATCCTGGGGTTGTCCTTGGCCTCCAAAATTGCCTGGGAGCAGAACAATGATTTAGCGGTTGTGAGGGCGGAGCAGTAAGATTTGATAAGATCCAGCCAAATCTGCCGATGGGACCATTAAGTTGGATTTGAGTCAGGTGCATTCAGCGGCACACACCTGTGCCTTAAGGGAGTGAAGGTGGCTGGTGTACCAGGGTGTTAAGTACCACATCTAGAAATGTGCATAAATGAGGTAATATTTAAGATGTGAATTTGTGTTAAAAATCTCATTCTATAGGCAAAACACTTTTGGTGACGTAGTATGACACAATATATTCCAATACGTTTGACGACTGCTGCAATATTTTACCTTTGGAATAAAATATCCTCTCAAGTGTGTGTCCTTTGTCGTTGCATGTGGAATATTCATGGGGATGATATTTGCAAACCTCTGGATCTCGTGCAACACAGCATCAGTGTATGGCATGTACTTCCGATCTTCCATTCTGGGTGATCGCTCCGATCCAATTACGCTTTCAATTTCCTCCTGAACTTTTCCTTAAGAATACAGAAATTTCAACTGTACGTCCAGTTTGTCTTTCTAAACTTTTCTTTTGCTGCACAATCTATTCAGCAAAAAAAACCTGTTCGATAATGTCCAGCTCTCAAATGGGATTATATTCTTGGATTGTCATTTCAGAAACCCATCCAGCCAACACTACCCTGAAGAGAGGGTTGCAACAGAATATCAATTTACATTGAAAATGTTGGTAGTGTAAATCAATGCATCTCTATTCACAAACCGGTCCTTTGAAATTCATGGGCCCTCGGTTTGCCTTGTAGTGAATCAGCGCATGAGGTTCTTGCAGATGGAATTAGGAACAGTGATTTGTAAATAGGTCAGCAATAATGTTCTCATATGAAAAAACTGTTTAGATGATCCCAGGTGTTAAAGAATGAGCTATGAGCAATGATCAGACAAGGTAGGGCTCTTCAGCCTTGAAAAGGGTAAATTATAGAGGTGTAGAATATTTTAAATGAGATTCAGAAAGTAAGCCCAGAACAATACTTTCAAATACACGAAGGCAGCAGCACAGGCAGTTGATTCAGGAATGCAAAAGGAAATTAAGGACACCAGGAAGTATTTCTTAACCCAACGGGTAATTAACTGCTGGACCTGGTAATCAGGAAGAATGGTGGACACCAGGATCTTAAGTCTTTCTATTTCTGAACAGTGGGATTTTCAAGGAACAGGCAGACAGGTCCTGGCTTTACGTCTCTACAAGGTCGGCGCGTCTGAGAATACACGGCTTCGTCAGTACCTTTAAGTTAACTCCTACAATGGCAAGTGCATTAATCACATCCACAAATTCAAATGAAATCTAACCCTGAATCTCTGGGTATTTCACCATCAGGAGGATTCCCCAGCGCAGCGTAGAGGATGAGGTATCAGTGCCGGCTGCAAACAGGTTTGTCACTGAGGTCACCAGGTTCATGTCATGGAAATAGCAACCTGGGTTTTTCGATTCCTTGAAGAGAAAATTAAAATTGCTACGGTTTCATTTGGAAAAGTCAGAGCGGAGCTGACAACAAAGCAGTGGAGGCAGTGGGGGGGGGGGGTCATGACCCTCCTCCTCCCCCCAGAGTACATTGTAAAGTGCAGTGACTGTGCTTCATGGTTGAACGCCGCAGCCAATATTGCACACAGGAGTGTTGCACAAACAGCCATGAAGTAAATGAACAATTTTATTTGGGAGATTGTTGGTACTAGTTCTCCTATTGGAAATATCCCAATCGCAATACCATGCTCTTTCCCTATAGAACCCTATAGTTTCCGACTGAACCTCAAACATTCACTGACAGTTGTAACAGCACTGATTTATTCTAATAATTTAACAATGTCAATTAATACACTAAAACCCCCACTACTAATATATGTCCAGCATTAAAAAGGATCAAAATGGTACCTCTCGTTGCTTCACCAAAAAAGCATCAATAAAACTCCTTATATCATTCTCGTTCAGCATTTTCTGATGTTCTTTGCAGAAGTTCATTATAAGTTGAACCATCTGTGTTCTGTTTTCAAAGATTTTCTTGTGAGTTCCAGGGAGAAATCCGAGAATAGGAAAGGCATTATACATCTGAAATATAATAATTCTTGATGTTTGGTATGCCTTTCATGTGAGGAGGACATCCCAAAGTCATGAAATGAATGATCAATTTTTGTCTGGGAGATTGTTGGCCAGGACACCAGGAGAAAACCCACTTTTCTCAGATTAGTTCCATGGAATCTTTAACATCCACCATGAACAGCAGACAGGACCTCAGTTTAATGTCTCATCCAAAGACAAAGCAATATACCCCCAGTTCTGCACTGGGGTGCAGCCCACGCTGTGAGCTCACAGTCCCAACATGAAGCTTGAACTCACAACCTTCCGATTCAGAGGTGAGAATGTTACCAACTGAGTCATACATGAAGGATACATGGAGCGAGTTACAAACAGTTACAAGATTCATTTCTATTTCCAAACCAAGCATGAGGGTTGATATCAGATGCTGAAGGGAAAAGGATGTCATATGAAGTTTCCACTTTAATCAAAATGCAGCCATTCAGTGGATGGAAGACATATATAGAGTTTGACTCTATTACAAAGTGTTTTGTTTAGATCCAGAAAAAGGAGATTCCTTATAATCAGAGCCACAAAATAAAAATGATCATCACTTCGGCAGTGATGCACCTGTGCAATAAAGGGTCAGACAGTGTATATATATATTTCTTTTAAATATAATTATATATTTTTTTCTTTGCACTACCTTTCAGCATTCTGTCAATGAACTTTCTACAATACGAAAATGTAGTCTTTCCTGCGATATAGACCTCTTTGGAAAAGAACTGCAGGTTTTCCTACATATACATTTTTCTCACCCTAGAAATGTTAAGTACAAACCCAAGACCTCTTATAAAAGTAAAATCTTTACCTGGATGCTGGAAGATCCAAGTAGCCTAAAATTTTCGTTTACCAGCTCTGTTAGGGTAAGAAATATTTCATCCTTATAGTCAAACCGATTTCCAAAAACGATAGAGCAGATGATATTAGCCATAGCAGAGGTGACAATAACAGCTGTATCAAAGGGCTGGCCTGGCAACAGAAACATTGAACATGAGGTTGAATACAACCTTGAAAGCAAAAGAAAATATATTTCAATTTTTTAAAAAGTTTGCAAATCCTAAATCTATCCAAAATCAACTAAGATCAAGATTCATGAAAGACATAGAATTTAATTGATGGCATTTTTCTATGCAGCATTAAAGAGTCAAGGAAATATTTGCAAGACTGCAGATTTACCAAATCTGTAAATTTGGTACAGTGCCTTTCACGTCAGGAGGATGTTTCATTACGATTCATGGGATATACTGTAAAGTGTGAATTTTATCAGTGAAACATGATAGTCCCACAAACAGTCATGAAAAGAATAATCAATTTTATTGTGGGATTGCTAACCAGGACACTGGGAGAAACTCCCTTCTCTTTTCGAATAATGCCACAAGATCTTCAATTTCCACAGGCAGAGAGAACCTTAGTTTAAAGTCTCATCCAAAGAACGCCTCATCTATAGGATGGCACCTCCAATAATGGAGTACACTTACTGCACTGCACTGGAGTGTCAGCATAAATGATACAAGTTCAAAGTCCCAATGTCAGGCTTGAATCCTCAACCTTCTGACTCAGAAGCAAGAGTCGGAGCCAGGCTGACAGCTTAGCAATTCTTCTTAATGCATTTTGGCTCTAAAGTACAGCCACTTCTATTACAGACCTAAACAGCAATGCCTCACACTGCACCTTAAGGCAGATTCTCACCTTTGTGAGATTCCATTTCTTGAACCAGAAACTTTGTTTCCTCGATAATTTTGTCTTCAATTGTCTTTTTTCCCATTCCAAAATTGCGCAGAGTTGTTAAAGCAAACCTTCGCATTTGTTTCCAGGACTCCCCGTGTCCAAAGGAAATACCTAAAATACACAATACAAAAAGGCAAAGTAATTTTCTTTCCTCCAAACACATCCAGGCTCAAAATGCCACAGTCACAGACTGAGACCAGTTGGAATTCTGGTGATTTCTTATTAGCAATTGTGAGTCAAACAGGAAAGATGATTAGACATGGGCATTTAAAATTGACATCTGTTCATTTTAATTATTGTTACAGCAGCAAATGTAAGTCAAAGAGAACAGCATTACTGAGGATTTTAAAAATAGAAGGCACGACATCTTTAATATGTTCTCAATTTAAAGAGTATATAAATCTCTACCAGTAAGACTATACTCCAACTAATTTTCCTAAATCTTTTTTCTTATCAATATTTCATCTGCACAATGAACTATATCATACCTCCCCCAATAAACACACTAGATTCCAGTTGGATAGTATACGTGTCGGCTGTTTTATGCAATTATCTGCTAATGCTGCCTTTAATGTTTAACTCTATTTGAGACAACCATAATTGAGCCACTTCCACTCAAACCTCATTGGAGATCAACCAACATGGGGTCGACCAGATATCTTCCCGACAATAGAGGCAACAGACGTTCTGAGATACGTCCACCAATTCATTTGCAAGTTTGGAGCATAAACTGGCAAGTTCAAGTCATCTACATTGTGCTGCTGTGAACCACCATGAATCTCCTCACTCTACATCACTTGACCCTACTTTCATACAATGAGAATTGTGATGGGTTTCCTTGCGCGTCAGACACCCAGATGTACACAAAAAACATAAGTGACTCTCTGTACAACAACCTTTCACAGAAGGTGTGGAGACCAATCGCTGCCAGAAATATTTTCTGGACAGTTAAAGTAACTCTGATATCAATGTTGCATTGTGACAAGAATAAAAGTAACTCAACCATATTCATTTGCTTGCATTTCCAACACAGCGATCTTTGCTCTCTCTGCAAATTCATCTGCTTGGTCTACAAGAGCCTCCTTCACAGTCTTATAACCCGTCAGTACCACCACTCTCTCCAAACCCAGGTGAATGGTAAACACAGAGCCATACTTCTCTGATAACTGTGGAAATAAGGAAAATTGCATCAAAACAAGTTAATTTGGGGAGGAATTCCCAAAGACACCGACTACATGTGAGGAACACTTATAGTGTGATTGCAAAATACAACTGAAATCATAAGATAGGGCATTGTTAAATATAGTGGAGCCCCATTATAACACGCTGGGTCCCATAAACTCCTATCACTGGGAATACATATGCAGCTGTCCGCCTCATTCCCTACGCACTGACTAGTCCCCACACTTCAAAAAAACAACATACTTCCAGCTTATAATAATAATAATAATCCTTGCATTTTGATATAGCGCTTTTCACGTCGGGAGGACGTCCCAAAGCGCTTCACAGAAGACACTGTAAAGTGAATTGACTGTATATTTGTGGGCGAACGCGGCAGCCAATTGCGCTGCAATTGTCCCAATGTCCCACAAACAGTCGTAGATTGAAAATGACCAATTTATTATTGTTTTGAATCAGGTCACAGCAAATATTACAATTCTACAAAAGTGGCATTAAACAATAAATTAGATGGGGGGGTGGCTAAAGGTCCAGAACACATCCATTTCTTATACCCAATTCTGTTTTCAAGTGGGTTTGTTCCTGAGGGAATAAAGCAAGATTTCTTACCTCCATCAGACTCTTGTACAGCATTTTCAGGTCAAGCGTGTGCAGGTTCCCGATCAAAGGCAGGGGAGTCGGGCCAGGAGGAAGGTTCAAATCAGCTTTGGTTTTATACCTAGTATAGAAATACATCACGCAAAATACAGACAACAAGAAAATAAGCACTAACGTGACAGTATCACTGATAAACAAATTTAGCAAAGACATGATAGACTAATCACACTTTAGCTCCAGAATTCCGAAAGCTAGCTCCAAACACAACTGGCAAAGGAGACGTGGGTCGTTCGGTTAAATAATCTTTTGAAGGTTCAGAGAAGATCTGTTATTGTTTAACAAACATTGTGGGTGAGAATCAGTCAGTGCAGTTTACAAACCATCATTTTCAATGTAATGCACAGCACTTTCTTATGTAATAGAACATTAACAGTTTACATGATAATCCTGTTACATGGCACATGCACATGTAGATTATAGGGTCTTGTGCAGTTCAGTACTGAAGCATAGCCCTCACCCACAAAACACAGTCACTCCATTTTACAATATATCCTGTGAAGCTCTTTGCGACGTCCTCCTGACCTGAAATCACAACATCAAATGTAAGGATTATTATTATTCAACAGGACTGAAGTTATGCTTTGGCAAGACTTTAAGAACTTTTAATGCTTTACTATGAAACTTTATAATTACCAGATTAATTTACTGTTGCTCAAAAGGAAAGGTTCCTGGATAACTCAATGGGACAAAGCACTGCCCAGAGGGGCACAAAGCCATACAGACCAGAAGGATGTATGGCATTCTCAATATGTGCTGGAGTTAACTGATCTCAGCTAAAGGTGCATTTAGGCGGAAAGGCGAAGGGCTGCAACTGAACCGAATGGACGAGGGAGAGGTAACATTCAGATCAGATACCTACTCCTGATCACTATTAGATTGTCTGGTTTGGAAAGTGCAAACAGGTGGGTTCTACCAGCACAATATTCTTCATGGCTTGCAAGCGCTCACATTGTTGATTGCAATAGGAAAAATGGTTTGTTGAGCAACCTTTTGCAACCCTGCCCCAGTAACAGCAGTCTTCAATTAGAGGAGGAGAGTAAAAAGGGTGAAAATTTGACAAAATCAAACATGCCTGTATGGATTTATTCAAGGCAGCTTCTGGGTCACTTGGAATGAGAACAAAAAGGATTCAGAACACAATTTTTTTTGTGGAAAGTCAAGATAGTTTATCCACTCTAACCAACTTCATCAGCTGTATGTCCCACGTCCACTCCATTACTAGTGGACGTGCTTTGAGCCACTATGCCCCAAAACTCTTTGCCTCAATCCCTCTGCCTTGCCCCCTCCTCACCCGCCTTCAGATCACACTTGAGGAACCTTCCTCTTCGACCGTGCCTATAGTCACCTCCACTCTCTCCCGTCTCAGCCCCAATGCTCTGCCACTGTTAATTGCTCCGAGACGCTATCCTGCTGAAGGACGCTATATAAATGCAAATTGCTGTTAATTCAATACACCACAAGCAATGCCATTCCTTTGGAGATCTAAAGGTCAACGTGTATTCATACAAAATGAAACACAAGATTCACGGATTTTCAAAGGGTTTTCACTGGAATGTAAATAATGTGAATTTGCCGTTTTTGAACCTAGCAGAGTACCTCCTGCAAGGGACTGTGATGTAAATCAAGCCAATCTATTTATACAAAGTCTGCAAGGGGAAAATGGCATTCAACAACCATTACAAAGGTATGAATTAACAGTTGCTTTTCCAGTCAGTGTGCAAGAATATCCAAAAAACAGCTGATTCTTCAAATTACATGGTAAAGGTACTTAAACATTAACTTACAAAAAAAGAATTATTCTCTTTCAATTTGGGAGTGGGGGAGCAAAGAGCGCATGAAACACAGCTGTTCTATATATATAGATTAAGCATTAAGTCGAATGAATAATGCAAGAGAATTTTAAAATATAAAACAGAACAACAGCAGTAAAATAGGATCACTACTAGCAAGCCACCCCAAATCCCTCCCCTGCCACCCTCCAGGTCACAAGTCACTCACCCTGAACTTGAATACATATTGTTGTACCTTCATCATCAGCTCTTTCAAAATCAGACTAACTTGCTTGAAAACATGGTCAAAAACCAGACACCTGGTCGCATGCCAACTCCAGGTTTCACCTTGAACATTTTCAGTGGTGTACAGAGCTGAGAGGGTGAATTAGATTAACTCAAGCTGCGTTACAAATCATGCTGAGTAGTGGCTGTCAAGGAGGTGGACAAACAATGGACCCAATAAGTAACCTACTGCAAAATCTGGTTTATGCTGAGTCAGTTCAACTAGGTCACAACACCATTGAAACGTATGGTCAGTGAATCATTGTGAACTGCAGAATATCAATCAAAAGTCCACACATTTAAAGTTAAAATTATATTCTCTTATCATTGGAAGCATTCCAGTTCTGATGTCCCAGAGATTGCTTCTAGGATTAATACATAGGTAAAACAACAACTTGCATTTATATAGACCCCCTCACTCAGGGCGGCATCCCAGGGCACTTGACAATGGTCGGGCACGACGCCAAGCAGGGGGGGAAGGGGAGTATCTTGGACTTCACGCAAGTCATTAAATGCGAGTACAATGGATCTCAGTCCAGGTTGAGCAATGCAACTCTCTCTAACCTTGGTTAAAAATGCAATTGTTGTGTATCTTTATCCAATGCTACCCTTTATAATAATATCCTTAATAATAATCTTTGCACTTATTACAGTATCTTTCACTTCGAGAGGATATCCTAAAGTCCTTCCCAGGATTTTGTGAAGTGGAGCGACTGCACCGTGTGGGTAAACACGTCAGTCAATTTGCATGCAGTTTGCACCCACAAACAGCCATGAAGTAAATGACCAATTTTATTTGGGGGTTGCTGGCCAGGACACCCGGAGAAACCCCCTTCTCTTTTCAAATAATCCTTGCATTTGATATAGTGCCTTATCACATCGGAAAGATCTCTCAAAGCGCTTCATAGGATTTACTACGAAACAAAGTGATTGTGTAGTTGTAGGCAAACATGGCAACACGGCAACACAATTGCACCTCAATATCGCACAAACAGCGAGTGACCAATTTTATTTTTTATTTGCGGGATTGTTGGCCAGAACACTGGACGAAACTCCCTTCTCTTTTCAAATAGTTCGTTGGGATCTTTAATGTATCATAGAATTATACAGCACAGGAGGCCATTCGGCAAGAGTGTCTGCCGGCTCTTTGAAATGAGTTACCCAATTCAATACCACTCCTCCGTGCTCTCCCCATAGCCCTGCAAACGTATCCTCCCCAAATAATTATCTACTTCTCTCCTAAAAGTTATCGAATCAGGTCCACCAGCCTTTTAGGCAATGCATTCCAGCTCCCAACAACTCGCTGTGTGAAAACATTTCTCTTCACGTCCCCTCTGTTTCTTTTAACAACTATTTTAAATTGGTGCCCTCGGGTTACCAACCCACCCGCCAGTGGGAATAGTTTCTCCTTGTTCACCCTATCAAATCCCCTCATCATTTTGAAAACTTCTATTAAGTCTCCTCTTAACCTTCTCTGCTCCAAGAAGAAGAATCCCAGCTTCTCCAGCCTCTCCTGATAACTGAATTCCAAAACAGGCAGACAGAACCTTGATTTAACATCTCGTCTGAAGAACGGCACGTCTGAGTGTCAGTTTAGTTTTAAACAATGAGAGCAAGTCACAATGTGGGACCAAGAGTTTCTTTGTGATGTATATTCCATAAAAACAGTCATCAGAAATGGCTACCTTTGAACGTATTTACAACACAAAGCACTGGTGAAATCTTTGTTGCACCAGTGCTTGAAACTTATGAAGTATTATTTTGTTGTCTGTGCCCAACACCATGAATTATACCAAGAGAGATTCAAATCAGCGCAACTAATGTGACCACAAAAGGGTATAGAACCAAAGTTAAAGGCACTGCTTTGCACACCGAACTACTAAACACATGTTTATTGCACTGAAAGTTGAATAATTTAGAATATGTACAGAAAGCAAGTCCCCCGGTCAAAACATAAACCGCTTCATTGGCTTGAGGTCAAGTTTTCCTTGTGTTGGGCAGACTGTTAGGACTTAGCCTGTTCGGTTTCTGTTGCTTTCCTGTCAACAAGATCTTTGAATCCCAGCTTCTCCAATGGCTCTTTGGTCATCAATTGCCTATGTAACAAAGAAATTCAAATACGTACATAATCTTGTAACACAGCTAGACACAAGAGCGAAGAAGCGTATATTTGGTCTATGTGCCACTCTTCAATGTTGTTTTACAAGATCGTTTACAAAAAGCTAGGTGTACATGCAGTTTCATTTCTCCAGCAGATTGAAGTGAATAAATACTCTACAGCACATGATTTTGGTACTACTGGGGTCGGGGCAAGAGAAACCGGGTCTGTGGAGGATAAGCTTGAATCATGATGTGGTACTGGATCAATGCTCAGGAGCCCTTCCTGATTCCCTATGGGATACAGGAACTGTTTATGTGGAACATTTGGGGTGGAGTCCGAAATAAGGCAAGGTTTGGAAGCTCGAGCACAGATGGCAGAAATTCTACCTCACGATTCACCACCATCTGTGGCTCGAGCACCTCCACATCTACCACCTCTCCCTTTCACAGCCAAAACTGACTTTTACTCCAAAGTCATCCTGGAGGCAAACAACAACCCGAAGATACTTTTTTCCCACCATCTATCACCTCCTCCATGCAGCCCCTCAAGCTCCCTCACTCCTCACATCAAAAGCCAAGTGCGAAGAGATCCTAGCCTTCTTCACCTCAAAGATTGAAAACATCCGCTTGACTGCATCATCCTCACCAGGCCCCCATGTCCCCTTCCACCCCACCCAGACCATCCACACCACCTTCTCCCTCCGCCACAGCTCCTGCCAATCCCCCCTCCTCACACTCCTTTGGCCCATTTCTCCCTCCTCCCTCTCAACCACAATCACCCACATGAAGTTCACCGTCTGCTGCCTCAGCCCCCTCCCCACCCAGCTGCTGGTCACTCAATTACCCCTCTTCTTGGAGGGGTACCTGCTGACCGATAGTCAACCAATCTCTCTCCTCAGGCTGTTCCACTCCCTCTTAAAACCGCTGTTATCACACCTGTGCTCGAAAACCCACCTTTGATCCCTCTGATCTCTCACACTACGGTCCCTTTTCCAATCTTTCCTTCCTTGCTAAAACCTTGGAACGCATTGTTGCAGGTCAACTTCGGTCACACCACTCTCTCCACTCCCTCCTCGAGTCTCTGCAATCTGTTGAAATTTCACCCTACCCACAGCACAGAGATAGCGCTTGTCAAAGTCACAAACGATGTGCTCCCTATCTGTGACCAGAGATCCCTCTGCCTTCTTGTCTTCCTGGATCTCTCTGCTGCGTTCAACACAGTCGACCACGCCATCCTCCTCCACCGTTTCTCCTCCCTCATCCACCTTAGTGGGACTGCATTTGTATTGTGTGAGTCCTGCTTAACTGACTGCTTCCTCTTCATCTCGGCAAATGGTTTCTCCTTCAGCCCCCACCCAGTCACCTGTGAGGTACCCCAGGGCTTCGTCCTTGGCCCTCTCCTTTTCATCATCTATATGCTCTCTCTTGGCGATGTCATCCGCAGACTTCCACATGTATGCGGATGACACACACATCTAGTTTGCCTCCTCTAGTATCGACTCCAGGTCCACCGATATTCTACCAGCTTGTCTGGCAGATATCAGAGCCTGGATGAGTGCAAGCTTCCTACAGTTGAATGCAGACAAGATGGAACCCATACTCTTCGGCTCCCATCAACTTCTTCATGCCAGCGGATCTGAACTTCTCAACCTCCCTGGGCTCTCAGACTCACTGAAAGCGGCAATCTAGGCATCCGGTTCGACTCCCAGCTGTCCGTCCTCCCCCACATCCAGTCCCTGATAAGGACCGCCTTCCTCCATCTCCGCCACTCTCTGCTGCATTCGACACAGTTGACCATGTCATCCTCCTCCATCACCTCTCCTTCCTCATATACCTTAGTGGGACTGCACTCATATGGTTTGAGTCCTAATTAACCAACCGCCTCCACTTCATCTTGGCAAATGGTTTCTCCTCCAACCCTGACTGTACCTTACCCCAAATGGAGCCAAAACCCTCATGCGTTTGTCATCTCCAACACACTTCTTGCCGGACTCCCCAGCTCCACTACTCAAAAAAATCCAGCTCATTCAGAACTCTACTGCCCACATACTTACCCAGACCAATCTCCATGCCCGCATCTCACAAGTTCTGGACAGGCTCCACATCACCAATCTGATTGACTTCAAGATCCTCACGCTCATGTTCAAATCCATTCACTCCCTGGCACCTCCCTAACTCTCCGACCTCCTCACTTCCCAATCCGCCACCCGGCGCCTCCACTCAACTGGCACCAGCCTCCTGCTCATCCCTCGCATCCTCCATTCCACCATTGGAGGTCGCACTTTCAGGCACTATGCCCCAAAACTATGGAACACTCTCCCTCAATCCCTCCGTCTTGCCTCCTCGCTTCCCTTTTTCAAGTCCTGCCTGATAACCTTCCTTTTCGACCGTACTATGGCACTACCTCACCCCTCACGCTGCTGAAACTCTGGTCCACGCCTTTATCACCTCAAGGCTGGACTATGGGAACTCTCCTCACCGGCCTTCCCGGCCCTCCCTCCACACTGCAGGTCATTCAGAACTCTGCAGCTCGTGTACTGTCCCGCACCAGGCTTCGGGACCACATCACTCCCACCCTCGCCTTCGCCCTCACCCTCACTCGCCTCCACTGGCTCCCCATCCCCCAGAGGATTGAATTCAAGATCCTCATCCTCACCTACAAGGCCATTCACGGCCTCGCTCCCTCCTACCTCTCCGACCTACTATCCCCCCACATACCCCCCCGTACCCTCCGTTCCTCTGGCTCCGGTCGGCTCCACATCCCCCGCCCCAACCGCCCTACCCTCGGTGGCCGGGCCTTCAGCCTCTCAGCCCCGAGGCTCTGGAACTCCATCCCCCAGTGCCTTCGCCGCTTCCTCCCTTTCCTCCTTCAAGGCCGGTCTCAAGATCTTTCTCTTTGACCGTACCTTCAGCTCCCCTCTCGCCTCTCTACCCCCTCCTCGCTCCCTCCCCTCACCCTGACCATTTCCCCCCTACTTGGGTCCTGACTTAACTGTCTAGCGCCTTGGGACGTCCTCCCGACGTGAAAGCGCTCTATAAATGGAATCTTATTGTTGTTGTTGTTGTACTTTCGGTCACCCCCCCTCCAGCTCAGAATCAGGCTCGACCACTGTTAAGTGCTCTGAGACGCTACCCTGCATGGAGGATGTTATATAAGTGCAAATTGTTGTTGTTTTACGTGGTCTGTGAAAGGAGGCCTGTATTTGTAAGCAAATGGGCAGCCAAATAACATACAGAAATTTCCCAAACAGTCATGAAGCAGATCATTCACAGAAGTTGGGGACCTTGGTGTCAGTCCGTCTTAGTCAGCAGAACTCTTGCCTCTGAGTCAAAAGGGTGTGTTTTCAAGCCCCATGTCTCACTGCTGTCTGCAAATTGGCTGCTGTGTTTGCCTGAAAACACAGTCAATCCACTTTACAATATATTCTGTGAAGCGCTTTGAGACCTCTCAACTACATGATAAGGCACTATATCAAGTGCAAAGATTACTATATTTAAGCATGACAATGGAAGGATTATTACTTCTTGTAATAAGGATTATCAAATGCAATAATTATTACTTTTATGGTCAGTATACAGGAAGAAACTTCTTCCTCTTTTCATACCTGTCCATTCTGCATTCCAGGTATTCCTTTGACACTTCCCGGCACAAGGAATTGTCAAACTTGTTCTCCCTGAGGCACTTCATAAATTTCTCCTTAATTGTCTTGCATTCACCTGCAAACACAAATGAGCAAAACAATTTGTCAGTCAATATTTCTCTCAATCGATGTTTCCCATGTGGTGTCATTGCCTTCTGGCATTTACAAAGCGCCCTTCACATGGGGCAACGTCTCAGAGCTGTTAGCAGTGGCAGATCCTGACTCTAGTGTTGGGGACAGTAACCCACGGTCCGGGGGTTTGGTGCTGATGTAAAAGCCGTTGAGGAGGTTCCAATGCTTCAGAGGGCACAGCGGCTGAAAGTGCAGCCGCTGAATGAGGAACGGAGGCCCCGGAGCCACCGCTCCACCACCACCACAGGGCCCGAAACACAGCCCCGAGAGAGCCGCACAATCACAGCCCCAACACAGCAAACAAACAAACGGCAGATACTGCAAATCTCAAACAGAAACCGAGAGAGAGAGGAAAGTCACTCAACGTTTCGGGTTCACGACCCTTCGTCACCGCGCGGCCCCGAAGGGCGGCAAAGGGCAGAAGGTGTCCACTGATGTGGGTTAAAGGGGCGATAGCGGCGTAAAGCACAAGAGGGAGAGAAGACAGTGCGGGGATGAGAATCACAGCCCCGGAACTGGGGGCTGCGGGAGGGGGGGCACTGACCCTGGTGGGGGGGGGGGGGGCTATGACCCTGGTGGGGGGGGGGGGGCACTGACCCTGGTGGGGGGGGGGCACTGACCCTGGTGGGGGGGGGGGCACTGACCCTGGTGGGGGGGGGGGCACTGACCCTGGTGGGGGGGGGGCACTGACCCTGGTGGGGGGGGGGGGGGCTATGACCCTGGTGGGGGGGGGGGGGGGCACTGACCCTGGTGGGGGGGGGGGGCACTGACCCTGGTGGGGGGGGGGGGGGCACTGACCCTGGTGGGGGGGGGGCACTGACCCTGGTGGGGGGGGGGGGGGGCACTGACCCTGGTGGGGGGGGGCACTGACCCTGGTGGGGGGGGGGGGCACTGACCCTGGTGGGGGGGGGGGCACTGACCCTGGTGGTCCAGCGGGAAGGCGCCCCTGTCCGGGTTTCGGGGTCTGAAGGTTTTGCTGCTGAAGTTCATTGCTGTTGACATCGCGGCCTCAGACTCGCGTCGGTCAGTCACACACAATGGAGCCCAGAGACGGCGATCAGTGAGGCCCCGCCCCCACCGCCCACAGCCCCGCCCCCACCGCCCACAGTCCCGCCCCCAGCCCCGCCCCCACCGCCCACAGCCCACAGCCCCGCCCCCACCGCCCACAGCCCCGCCCCCACCGCCCACAGCCCCGCCCCCACCGCCCACAGCCCCGCCCCCAGCCCCGCCCCCACCGCCCACAGCCCACAGCCCCGCCCCCACCGCCCACAGCATATTATTAATAATAATCTTTGCATTTGATGTAGCGCTTTATCTTGTCTTCAAGACACCTCAAAGCGCTTCACAGGAATACAATGTAAAGCGAATTCACTGTATATTTTGAGGGTTGCCCCCCCATTTTACACTCTCCACCCCCCCCCCGAATGAATCGCTTTCTAGGGGTAATAATCCCTTTTTTAAAATAAATGGTGATTCATTCTACGACTGTTTGTGGGACACTGTTGTGCGCGAATTGGCTGCCGTACTTCGGCCACAAAATATACAGTCAATTCACTTTAGAGTATATTCTGTGAAGCGCTTTGAGACACTATAGACGGCTTGATACGATGCTATATCAAAGCAAGGATCATTATTATTAAATGTCTGGCATTTCTGGCATTTTAATTCAAAGTTCTTTTTTCCATCTCTCCAAGTATGCACACCTATTTTAAAAAGAATCTGCTTCCTTAAAAAATATTCCATTGAGATAGACAATGGTTTGCTTTCCTTTCCCTGAAGGTGCAATGCCATCAAGTGTCAGCATCACTTCGCTACGTCACTCAACTGACTTCATCTCTGAGTAAGCGAGAGTTGGCAGAGCATTCAATTATAGATCCATCACAGTCGATAGTAACTGGACAGCAATCAGCAATGCTGATGTTTTCTCAATTCCTTTTCTCCCCACTACATCAATATCAATTGAAATAATAATAATAATAATTATCCTTGCATTTGATATAGCGCTTTTCACAGAAACACTAAATCAATACAGACCAGTCATAGTACCCCCAAACTTCCTGCTCTGTGTGACTCAGCACCACATCAGGTGATGAATGTAACCACTGGGAGCCCAGTATTAATGGTAGATGGTAGATTTACAAAGTTATTACATTGGCTTCCATCCCTCAAGTATTCTTACCTATTGTGGGAATCATCCTATGAGTGCAGACAATAGGTGATCACAATTCATAGTAAATCAATTATCAATTGTGTTGTTTTCCAGGGCAAAACATTTTGAGTTCAAAATCACAGAGACCATGCAAAATCCATTATTATTGAAGCCATTTTGCTTTAACAAATAATAAAAATAATAATCCTTGCATTTGATACAGAGTCTAATCATGTCATTGAGACGTCTCAAAGAGCTTCAAGCAAAGTGAATTTTGTGGGTGAAACTTGGCAGCCAATTGCACACAGCAGTGACCGACAAACAGTCGTGGATTGAGTGACCAAATTGTTTTTTTAAAAGAATTGTTACCCCTGGAAAGCGATGTCCCAATCGGTTAACAACCAGCTTCCTACTTACTGCTCGGTAAACAGGTGTGTCGAGTAAGGAAACCTCTGCCCTGCCTGGAAATCAAACTCAGGTCCTCTCACTTGCAAGGCGAGTACTCTAACCAATATGCTACAGGACTCCAATATCCTGCAGGCTTTAATTAAACACTCAAAATGCAGGCTTTGCTTTCAATTCCTTAAAAAATGATATCACTGGAATACCCAAAGCAGGAAAAAAGGACGGCAAATAGACTACAAATATTTCAATACTAGAAATATCTGATTATTTTTAAGATCAATATCTTTCACTTGCTGCAAACAAACAATATCTACGTTATATTGCTTTCTCCCCAATGACACTCCTGCTTCAGACTGAGAAGCAATTCCCAAACATTTTTGTTACAATAATCCTTGGTTTGGTATAGTGTCTTACCACACTGGAATCTCAAAGCTCTTCACAGGATTTATTGTGAAATGGAGTGACTGTAATTGTAAGGTGAACGTGCAGCCTAATTGCACACAACAATGTCCCACAAACAGCCATTAAATTAATGGCCAACGTTATTTGTGGATGTGGGGGGGAAACTGTTGACCAGGAGAAACTCCCTTCTCTTTTCAAACAGCTATGGAATCTTTAACGTCCACCTCAACAGGCAGATGGGACCTTAGTTTAACATCTCAACCGAAGGACGGCACCTCTGATGTGGAATTTGAACCCCCAATCTTCTGACTCAAAAACGAGAGTGCTAACACTGAGCCAGACTGAGAGATGAATTTAAACGATAAAGAGAGAATGTCATGCCATTGAAGTAAGTGAAAAGAAATGCACTGGAAACGTTCCCCGATCACCCCAGTCCTGGCCAGACTGCATTGGCTGCCTGTCCCAGAGAGGATCGATTTCAAGATCCTCACCCTCGTATTCAAATCCCTCCACTCCTCTACACCCCCTGACCTCTCTGACCTCCTCTCTCCTCAAAACAGTACCTGTTGCCTTCATTCCTCCGGGTCTGGCCTCCTCCTCATCCCCCTAGTCCTCCCCTCCACCCTCGGCAGCCGTGCCTTCAGCCACTATGCCCCGAGGCTCTGGAACTCCCTTCCTCACTCCCTTCGCCTCGCTCCCTCTCTTCCTACTTTCAGGTCCCTACTGAAGACCTTTCCTTTTGACCGCGCCTTTGGTCACCTCTCCCCCTCCCCCTGGCTCATCCCCGGGATTCGTTACTGTAAAGCGCTCTGAGATGCCATCCGGAGTGGAGGGCGCTATATAAATCCAAGTTGTTGTTGTTATTAATCTTAACATTAACAAAAACAATGATAAATTGGTCACTTTAATCCACGACTGTTTGTGGGACACTGCTGTGCGCAATTGGCTGTCATGTTTCGCCCACAATTATACAGTCAATTCACTTTACAGTATATTCTGTGAAGCGCTTTGAGACATCTAGAAGACATACAAAGCGCTATCATAGAATCATGTAATTGTACAGAACAAAAAGAGGCCATTCGGCCCATCGAGTCTGTGCGGCTCTTTGAAAAATGCAATGTAACATCAATCCCACTCCCCGGCCCTTTCCCTATAACCTGCAAACCCGTCCTCCTCAAATACCCGTCCACCGTGTTTTTAAAAGTAGTTATCGATCGGCCTCGACCGCCCTTTCAGACAATGCGTTCCAGATTCGAACAACTCGCTGCATGAAAAAATTTCTTGTCCCCTCCCCTCGGCTTCTTTTAGAGACTATTTTGAATCTGTGACCTCGAGTCACCGACACACCCACCAGTGGGAACAGTTTTTCCCTTTCTAACCTATCAAATCCCCTCATGATTTTGAAGACCTCTATCAGGTTCTCCTCGTAACCTTCTCTGCTCCAATGAGAATAATCCCGGCCTCTCTCGCCTTTCCTCATAATCAAGGTCCCTCATTCCTGGTACCATCCTCGTAAATCTCCTCTGTACCCTTTCCAATGCCTTAACATCCTTCCTATAGTGTGGTGCCCAGAACTGGGCGCAGTATTCTAACTGAGGCCTAACCAGGGTTTTATATGGGTTAATCATCACCTCCTGACTCTTGTACTCTATGCCCCTATTTATAAAGCCTAGTGTCCCATATGCCCTTTTTACAGCTTTATCTATCTGAAAGCTATATCAAATGCAAGGATTATTATTATATTTACAATCACAATTTTACATTTAGACATGACTGATTATTGAAGTGAACACATTTTTAAATAGAATTGGAAAATATCAAATCGGTATGGAGAAAGTGCAAGGGACTAGGAATAGAGCAGAGAGATCCATCAGAGTAGACATTTACAACACAGAAGATCATTTGCGCCATTGTATGTGTCCTGACTCTCTGAAAAAGGAATTTATTCAGTCTTGTTTACCTGCCTTTTCTCTTCCATACCCAGTAGTCTATGGATCCAGATGACCGTCATGCAAAAATAGGTTGGGAACCCCCTTCCTGACTCCGCAACTAAAATTTTGCTTACCATACCAGCGTGTACTGGCCAACTTCCAGTCCTGGAGACAGGTAAGTATTTCCGAAATGGCTCAAATGCTTTTGAGGTATGGAGGTATGTTTCTGACCCTACAACTTTCCACCACCAATGGATTGGGTCCCTGTAACCTCATGGGCCCTTTCATGACTGCACCACTAACAATAGGCCTTGCATTTGGTACAGCGCTTTATCACATTGGAAGGACTCAAAACCTCAAAGAGCTTTACAGGATTTACTGTGAAATGGAGTGACTGTATTTATAGGCAAACATGGTAGCCTAATTGTGCACAGCAATGTCCTACAAAAAGCCATTTTTATTTGGGAGGATTGTTGGCCAGGACATCGGGAGAGGAAAAACTTCTCTTTTCGAATAGCAACATGGGATCTTTAACATCCACCAGAACAGGCAGATGGGTCCTTGGTTTAACATCTCATCTGAAGGATAGAATGGTGTGTAGTTCAACCACTGCCGACACCCCTTCAATTTACTCTGATTTGCAGATCACTCCAGTTGCCTCCTGAAAGCTGACATGCACTTGGCCTTGACCACTTCCTGGCAAGGCATTCCACACCCTAACAACTCTACAACTTTTACTCCTCATCTTTTAAACTGATACTCTTCAGTCGTCGACTCGCCAACCAACCAAATATGTCCCCCAGTGACTATTAAAAGCTCTCAGAATATTAAAGACCTCTGTCAAGACGTCCCTCAACCTTCTCGGTTTCAGTGAAGATAGGGTGGGCATCGGCACAGATACAATGGGGAGAGGGAAAGAGGATGAAATAGCAGGAGAATGGGATTAGAGTAGAGAGCACCAGAGAATAAGTTAGCACCAGCACAGATACAATGGACTAAATAAGACTCCTTCTGTGCTGTAAACTTTCTAAGATTCTAGACCACCCAGTTCAGCTTTTCATTTTTTCAATTTGGCGATCAACACTGTTGGTTTCTCTTTCAACATCACTCAGGCGATCATTTGTTAACCTAGAAAATACACGTCAGCAGGTTATCCAACCATGGAAAGCATCAGATCTGAGCCCAGTCCT